CATGCTATATGTAAAAATCGATCATCTGCTGGATTTTGATTGACGGACTTAATAAGAATATACAAAAATTAATTATAAGATCAATAATTATAATAATAATTATTATTGATAAATTAATTATTAGATTACTAAACAATGGCTGAAGTGGAATATAGTCAATATATATTTACGTGGAAAATTAAAAACTTTTTATCCTGTTACTTCAAATATGGTGAATGTATTGAAAGTCCTTACTTTATTATGCCTAATTTACCTTTAGAAGAATGGAATATTAAGCTATATCCGAAAGGAACCGACAATATTATTGATTCAGCCGACAAGATTTCTCTTTTATTTCGAAAGAAGGGTAACTTGAATGAAGCAATTACTTTAAATGTTCGAATCGAAGTGGTGGACATAAATTGCTGTGTTTTGATGAGTGAGGAACGTAAAAACTGTAGCATGGTAGCAAATTATGTTTGCTGCCCTGTCTGTTTCCAAACCTTTGAAATGTTATGCGAGCTTCTGAAAAGTTGGTCCTATGACACTTTAACCATTCGTTGTACCATAACACAGAATGATACAGAAAATAAAATACTATCTTCAGTGTCATCCGAGGCTGTGACTGTTATCGATGTCAACCGATATATTTTCAAGTGGGATGTGTCAAATACTGAATGTTTCGACTGGTCTAAAAGTATGTCCGTTCCTAATTCGGCAATGCCTGCCTCGAAAATCTCTTTGAGCGCACCTAATGAAGGCATTGATATCAAGATTCAAATGTTGAATGAATCTTCAATACCCAAATCAGTTGTATTCAGAATGATATTTCAAAGTATTTCTGGTGCCAGACTTGCCTCTAAATGTGAGGTACATTTGTTCGACTCTCTAGACTTCTGGCAGTTTCCAACATTTGTCAATAAAAAAGATTTGTGCTTTGGAAATTCTTCACCTTCTTGCTGCAAATATACTTTCATCTGCGAATGCAATGTCACCAAGAAATCTTATAGCTCTACTTTTAACAGTTTCACAATCAACTCCTTTGTGAAAAGCGAAACTACAATGCAGGACGAAACGTGTTTTAATTCTTCTCTGCGTGAAGATTTTCGCAAGCTTTTCCTGAACAAGAAGTATTCAGACGTGAAACTTAAAGTAGGCGAAAAAGAATTTTTTGCCCACAAAAACGTTCTTGGAATTCGATCTCCTGTGTTTTCAACTATGTTTGATCAAGACATGCTTGAAAATCGAACAGGTGTTGTTGATATTGAGGATATGGAAGAGGAAACTGTGCAGAACTTATTAGAGTATATTTATACCGACGAATTGAATGATGATATTGATGACAAAAGTGCTTTAAGACTTCTGTTGGCAGCCGACAGGTATCAAGTGCTCATTTTAAAAGACAGGTGCATTTCCATGATCATGTCCAAGTTATCCGTGGAGAACATATGTGAAGTGATTGCAGTGGCAGATTTGATTAATCAGGAACATTTAAAATCTTTCGCGTTAAGTTATATTTTTGAAAATGTTTCAAGAGTCTTATCAACCCCCATTTGGTTTGAGTGGGTTGGTAAAAATATGAAATTAGCTACAGAGATAATGTGTGAACTTTCTAAACATTTCGGACGCGAGAAAAATGATTAATTTTCTACCTACTGTGTTATTTATGAAAGTGTTTAATTTGTTTAAATGATCATTTCATATTCAGGAAATGAATAAAAATATTTTTTCACCAAATGCAATGCAAAATGTGTTTCAAAGGATTAACTAATTATAAATATGATATTGGTTGAAGAATATTTTGCAATATTGTCTGCCATTTATAAAAAAAATATATATCTGTTTATACGTGTTTCTTTTTATGTTTTTTTTTTCCTGCTCTTCTTTTGTGTATAACTGTTGATAAGATTTGTGGTGCAAGTGAGTACTTAGCTCATTATTCCCATAATATAAAAAAGTCGTTGATTAAGTTTTTATGTACAGTGCGCAAAATAAAAATAAAAACACACCTTGAATTACTTTTGATCTAATGATAGGATCATCACATTCAAATACTCAATCTTGAGGTTCGAGGGAGATGACCTTAAATATGCAAATAATTAGTATTAATTAATAACTAATAAATTTTTGAAGTTGCGAAATCAGACACAAAATCGTACTTTTTCTGAATAAAAATTCCTATAACAACTACGACGTGCATTATTTGTGATGCCCGAACTGACTTCCGGCAGGTGAAAAATTAACGTTTTGTGAAGCCCGAGCTGCTTTCGTTTCTACTTTAGGATACTTAATTCACTATTTTCCTAATAGATGGCATTAATAGTCCTAGTGTTTCACGGATTACGACTTCAGTCTAGGGAAGGAAATGTGGGTTGGGTTTTTGGGATATACCATACTGTAAAAGATTTGTAAAATTAGTGCATTGAAAATCATATTGTTGTGTTTTTATATTATATTATACTAGTTATATTATATTTAGGTTCAAAATTTTTTTTAATTTGCTATAATTGAATAAGATGTGTGTGTAATCCATTACTTTTTTATGGGTATGTAAAAATTATAAATACAGTTATTGCATTTAAAATTTTACTTTTCCATTAAAATCCATTTTCTAACTTTTATAATAATACAGAGAACAAAATTAAACTGTCAAAAAAATTTTCCTTTTCTGGTTCATTTTTCTAAACCATATGTCCCTGTTAAGGGGTTAATGTTAATTTTACTTTCAACGTATTTCACAATATTTCGAAACATTTTGAGCGAATAAAGAAATATTTGCACACATTATGAAATTCGTTTATCCAAAGATATCGCATGCAAAAAGTAAAATTTAGTAAATATTTATTATTTTAATGAATAAGTCAAAAAAATGTCGAATTGTAAGGTATACAATTTTTTACATCATTTTTAGAATACGATTTTAGATGATAAAATACAAAATTTGAGCGGAATCGGTCGAATAGTTCTTTCGAAATTCGATTTCTCAGGATCTATTTGACCGATTTCGCTGAAATTTTGAATTTTGCCATTTAAAATCATCACATTCTTCAAAATGAAGAAAAAAAATTGTATACCTTACAATTCAAAATATTTACTGTAAGTAATTTTTGCATGCGATTATCTTTGGATAAACAAATTTCATAATATAGGAAATCTTACTATTTCTTATAATACCTAATATTCTTATCTAATTACCTTTATTGGTTTTGTTTCTTTTTTTTCCCCTTTAAGAAATAAGTTGAGGAAAGTATCAATTGCTCATAAATGGGAATCTGTTTTTATTTTTTAATTTGTGACTTAACTTATAAAAGCCTATTTTATGCACATAGCTAAAAAATAAATCAATTTTGATTTTTCACTGTTATAGCTAAGAAATTTTGACTCATTAGTAACTAAATTTAAAATTAATCTCTGGGTTAGTATTATTTTTGCAATAATTTTTATTTTAAGCTTTTGTAGTATTCCTGAGGGTTAATTGTGTTAGGTGTGATTATTGAATATGCAATGTGCTTCAAGCATTTATTATATGTTTTGTTTTTTATTAAATTTGTGTTAAAACTTAATTTATTAGAGGGTATGCATTAAGAACAGCATAGTTGTATGTAAGCGAGAAAAATGAATAACATTATCAAAATATGACAGAAAGAACAGGTCTCGAATTGGATAGGCAGTAGTGTAGTAGAATCGTGAAAATTCAATTTACTATTAGGATGAAGCTGAGAGAACAAAGAAAATTACAAGCCATCTTTGTTTTCAGCTTTCTGGCACAATTTCTAACACGTAGCGTTATTAAAAAGCGCTTAAAGGTGCTTATTTTTGGTTTTCCTTTTTTATAACTCCTTAAAAGTGCTTATTTTTCATCATGTTTATTAAAAGTTCTTAGGTTTTTATTTTTTCTTTCTATCAGACGAAAAAAGTGATTTTCACGGATATAATCACTATTTGTTATGGCGTACTGATGTCTATCGTTTTTTTTGTTGGGTCATGTACTCGCGTGTTCGAAAGCGCGTGCTGTGAGCATAATTATTTGAAAAAAATTCCTGCAGTCGTTACATTTTGCGAGAGACTACAGATTTCAGGCTTCATATCCTGCCCTCTGATATCGAACCGAAAATCTCTTGAATATTTGCTAATCACAGCTAACAACTAAACATTGCCAAATAATTGCCTAATAGCAAAATATTTTTAAACGGGATAGCCTGGTTGGTAGGGCGTTGGGCCCATGTCTAATAGATCTTGAGTTCGATCCCCGACGGGGGAAGGCTCCCCTTGTATTAAATGGTGACTGGTGCACGTTAAATCTGTCAGGTTGCAAAGTCCTCCATGTTCCCATAACAAATCATACCTCTGGGGGTACTAAATTTAAGATTTATCGTTCTCTGATTTAGGCCAAAATTACGATCTGTGGCTGTATAAATGGGTACGTCCTATAAACGAGCTGTGACGTATGTGTGGCTGAAATCGTAGTCTTAGCCTTAGATAGCGCCACTGAAAAAACAAGAAAGTCACCCTTCGCTCTCATGTAACTGTTTTATCGTAATATAATGATTTGGCAACTAAAAACTACGGCGCAATGGCTAAATCTGAGTCTATTTTAATACAATTCTTAACAATAATTATAAACATGCATAATATTAATATAAACAAAAGGAACGGTTTAAATATGCATAAGCAGCCAGCTCATAACAGGAAGGCACCACTAGCGGCGTATAACGGCATTTGCTATGCTCTTATTATGTGCTCTACCTACGTTACAAATCTGTAATCGCTATGCTTAATCTTCTTTTATCTGTTTCAAAATGCTTTTTGATCCTTATTATTCCTTGTTACAAACAGTTGAGATAAAGTGTGACGATAAAAAAAGATTTACAGTAAGTTATTGAAGTTTTAAAACTTTCACATAAGTTTCTTTATATGCATCAAAATAATTCTATTTTTTTTTAAAAAAAAATTGAGCTTTAATTGTATTTATTATTTCTGAATGCTTCATCTTAATATCTATCTTTCTTTCTTTGAAATAGATGCCAAAACGAAAGAAAAGGGGGCCGAAATTGAAAAAAACTGAAACTACTACTGCTGGCGAAACCGCTTCTTCTAGTATGGGTATTTCTCCAGGAAGCAACTGTGATGATTCTGCAATGAATGTTAAAATAGAGATGCCGAAAGTCTACGGTAGATCTAATAGTCTATTTGGTACATTCGGGCTACTTGATGCCCAAAAACCCGCCGTGGTAAAAATAAAGAAAGAACCTGCTGAAGTTGACAAGCCTAAGACATGTGATACATTTAATATAAATATTGAAAATGTTTGTGAAGTTAAGTTGTCAGAGTGTTCCGTCGTTTTAACAGACCTTACAGAAAACTTAATTACACAAGAAGTAATTGGCGAGAAACAAAGGGTAACTAATGCCACGGAGAAAGAACCTGTAATTGTTGGCGCTTTCTGTGTTGAAGAAGATAATGAGAATATGTTAAAGCAATTAATAGAGAACAAAGAAGGCGATAGTAATTTTGAAGTAAAGACGACTATTGATTTCCCTGTAATTGGGGAGAAACAAAGGATTACTGATAACACTGAAAAAGAACTTTTAATTGTTGGTGATTTCTGTGCTGAAAAAGATAACGAGAATGTGTTAGAGCAATTAATAGAGAACAAAGAAAGCGATGCTAATTTTGACGTGGAAACGACTATTGATTTCCCTGTAATTGGTAAGAAACAACGGGTTACTGATAACGCTGAAGAAGAACTTGTAATTGTTGGCGATTTCTGTGTTGAAAAAAGTAATGAGAATGTGTTAGAGCAATTAATAGAGAACAAAGAAAACCACAGTAATTTTAACGTGGAAACGGCTACTGATTTCCCTATAATTGGCGAGAAACAAAAGATTACTGATAACAATGAAAAAGAACTTTTAATCGTTGGCGATTTCTGTGTTGAAGAAGATAATGAGAATATGTTAGAGCAATTAATAGAGAACAAAGAAAGCAATGCTAATTTTGAAGTAGAAACGACTATTGATTTCCCTGTAATTGGTAAGAAACAAAGGGTTACTGATAACTCTGAAAAAGAACCTGTAATTGTTGGCGATTTCTGTGTTGAAAAAGGTTATGAGAATATGTTAGAGCAATTAATAGAGAACAAAGAAAGCGATGGTAATTTTAACGTGCAAACGACTATTGATTTCCCTGTAACAAAAGATGAAGACTTCCATCAAGAAGAAGAGAAACATGAAGTTACTGATACCGATATGGATATTGACGTGAATGAGGATATTTTTGTGAAAAAAGAAAGCGATGTAATCAAGACTGAATATGAGTTAATGGAACAAGAAGAAAGTGATACAGATAGAAACATGGCGTGTTTAGACGAGCACAGTGCAAAAGAATACCAAGATAACTATTTAAATGGAACGGAACAAAATGAAAGCAGCATAAATGAGGATATTTTTGGTAGTTTAATCAAATTTTCAGCAGAAAAAGATGACGACTATTTTTTAAAAAATGTAAAGAAGGAATTTCAACTGAAGGAAAGTGATGCAGATGATGATATCGTGTTTTTAAAAGAAGTGTGCAAGAAATGCTTGATCACGGAGACCCGAGAGGGGTTCTGCTGCCATTTTCCATCGCTTGTGGAATAGATTCCTATTTCAATAGGATATTTTGCTTCTGTATTGTGCCAACTTCTGGTAGAAATAGTTCACGCGAAAAGTTAAAATAAAATAGAATTTTTCTAAGCGAATCATTTTGTAAAACTAAAAATAACCTTTTAATTTCTTAGTCACGCAATTTATTATTATTATTTCGTGAGTTAATTCTTTTAAAATGAAAGCACGTGTTTCTAAAAATGAGATACGATTAAAAATAAAATAAAACCAAAAGGATATATATATATATATATATATATAATTTTCTGTTGAAAAAAATCATTCGTCAATACTTTCACCAACAAAAAAGTTTTTCACACCGAATTTACGATTTNATATACAGTTCACAGCGTTCTGTTTAAAGATATTTATTCCCAACTAGTTACTAAGTTCATCCATAGATGGCTGCAAAACCTAAGTTTGTAAAAAAAATACCATTTGAAGCAACAATGCATGCCGCCTGAGCTTATAACCAACCGGCACAAATATTTCGATTATAATGGTCTGATATGCAATAGAATAGTACATTGTTTTAGAGTTCTTCACTCAGCAGCGCTATCTGTCGACGAGCGGTATAACTAAATTCAAATCATGGTTTCTTCAGCAGAACACAGTGAGCTGTTAATATCTTACAGGTATTTAACAGACGACCAATTTCGGCAAAACCAAAAAAATTGAAGCCTTCTTGAGATTAAAATTTTTTGAAAATAAACAGTGCTAATTTTTTTTTTAATCATATATTCTAAAACTTAAATTTCAACGTTTTTCTTTTTTTTTCTTTTCGTTTTGAAAAATCAACTTTTTCTTAAAAAATTACTATCAAATATGGACAGGTTGCAATCACAGTTCTTTGGTTACAATATGAAACGATGTGGTCTCAATTTAACGGAATTTACGCCAAATTGCTAGGATTTTAAACAAGGACCATCTTACATTCTTTTTATATTAAGTTTTCAAATCAGTGACGTTTTCAAGGGAAAAAACTTTTATTTTTTATCAGTTAACGTAATAAATTAATGTTCTTTTTTTTTTTTTTAGCGGAATAGAGGAGTGCGTTTATTAATCGTGTGTGATCACAACTTTTATTTACGAACTAAACTTTACGAGACAATTTTAAGTAGTTATAATTAATTTACTAGAGGTAATACTTTATGGCCGAATTTCTTATATCAAGATCAAAGAAGACTTGTTTCACAATTCAAGGAAAAACGAGACAGTAAACCAGATGCTGAAAATGTGATAAGAATATTTTCTTATTAATTTTTTTGACGTGAAGATTTAAGTACTGCAATGACGCCAACTGCTACGAATTTTCGTAACCTCTGCAGCTTTTAATTCCTTACATAAAATAAAAGAATATCAAAGCTACGGTAAAGTCCAAATGTCCGATTTTTTTTAAAAATTCCTCTTTGTCTACTGGTAGAATGTTCTTAAATTGATGAATGTTTCTGTGTTTTTAGTAGATTTCTTGCAATTTCTAACATGTATTTATTTGTTTATCTTCGTAAAATTAAATGTATTGAATAAGTCGAAATAAATGCCCCCATTTCATAGGTACATTACGCAAAATGTAATACATGTATTCATTAAATATGTAATACACACGCAGTAGCAACATTAGCAAGTTTCGAATGTACTCTTTATAAATGTTCATTGTTCAATATCCGCTTATTTTGTTAAAAAGCATACATCAAGTCTGAAAAGTAATTCTTGAAAAACTTGGTGCAACATATCTGATGGCGATAGCAATTGTGATGCGTGTTTTCAAATCAGTCGTGGTCGTTGGACCTGGTGGCACATACTCGCGAGATTTTACGAACCCTTACAGAAAAAAATCGCATAAGTTGAGATCTGGGGATCGTAGTGGCCAAGACGAAAGTGCGTTTTCTGCGGTAAATACGCGACCAATCCACCATTGTGATAACGTTGTTGTGGTCAGTCAGTAGTTTTATTTTCGTAGAAACGCTGATGATGATGATTAGACTTCCAGCACCATTTCTTGGCTTCTATTCAGAACTTGCTCATATCACCCCTGCATGTTTATGCATCTTTAATTAATATATTTACCTATTACATGTTGCGTAGAAAACCAACGAAATTAGAACAATGTATTTTAAAAATGATATTAGGACAATAAATGTTTGTACGTCGTTAATTAGTACATTTACCTATTACATGTTGCGTAGAACACCAACGAAATTAGGACATTCATTTTGGAAAAATATATTCTTGATAAAAAAAAAAGGTATTCCTAAAAATAATACCAATTGTAAAATTCCGTATAATGATATTTTTGGAGCAAAAATTGTTAAATGTATATAATGTTGAATTATTTCATTTACCTGCATTAATAAATAGTGATATAGCAGTATATTTCGAATAAGGTACATCTTGTCCAACTTGTTAAAACAAATATGTCTCTATTAACGCCTCATTACGAATTTAAAATTTATTACGGTATAAGAAACAGGTTTCAAATATTTATAAAGTGATAAAAAATAAAATCGAAAAGCGTTAAAAACTATCTAATACAATAAAAATAAACTTTAATCCCACTTAATAATCAATTGATAAATAACCTGTATAATTTTCAAACGATATAAAAATTGCCTTTAGTTATTGCGATAATTTTTATGTGTTGCAATCCTAACAAAAATTTAATGTGCATTAAATAACATAGTGATCTGACAGTTTTTTGGCATGGTGTACCTTGGTTGTTGTGCTATATGCCTGATATGTATAAATATGCGAAGAGGTACTAAGTATTTTCTGTACAGTAATACATAATACTCTCTACGAGTTGGCATCCATCCTTTAATGGTCCTTATTGATATTTTTTGCATTGATATGTTGTACGTTTACATGTTAAATTTGTGTCTTGCATAAACAATTGTGCATTTTGAAGTGTATTTAAGATTGTCTTAAAACGTGCTTATTTTTCAATTTGAATAGTACTCACTTATTTTTTAAGAATAAATGTTTGTATGTTGTTATAAAATGTCATGTTGCTGTCTTAGAATGAGTACTTTTTACGTATTATTTTTGTGACGATTTATTTTTATGAGTACACTTTTACGTATTATAATACGTAATTAAATAATATAATTTTCATTTTCTACAAAAACTTATGAAGGCGTTTAAAATTCAGCATATTTTGAAACCCATTTTCAATACACGCTAAACGTGAAACGCGGCATATTCACGCAGCGAGTCTTGAGAATCGGCGCCTATTTTTAACCCTCAAAACCTGTCACTTCTACCGCCCTTATAAGTTTTTGAAGCAAATGAAGTTTTTATAATATCAAGTGTGTCTTTTCTCTTGTTTCTTGGGATTATTCATTTAATCTAGTCCTATTTTTGAATCTTTTTTTTATCAAAAAATTTAATATAATCCGTTAGTAATTAACATATTGATTAATTCAAAAAATTATGGACTAATAGTCCAAAAATGGACCTGTCTGTTATAGCGTTTGAGAAATTTTCAACTCTTGTTAAGTCTATTACTATTTATGTTGTGCAAGGTTTCCTCCTTATAATCAGTAATTTTTAAAAATACGCAAATGCTCCTTATGACAAAATTTGTCTTTAAAGGCAATTAGCTTTCTTAAATGTGCCATATGTTTTAAAAGTTGATATAACAAGATATTCAAATGATTAGTGTTAGAATGAATTTAAAAATATTGGTAAAAGTTAACCAAGTTGGATGATGTTTTTAATACTATAATATGTTTAAACTTCAAAATTAAATTATGATTATTAATCGTTAAAATAAATAAACGATTTTTTTTTAACTCCAATACAATAAGTTTTATCAAGATTAAAAATTATGTTATTGTCTGAAATTTCTACATGCTTGAATGAACTTATTCCTTTTTCTAGAGCTAGAATGGAACGAAGATGAGCTGAGTGATATTTGATTTACAGTTATAATCCTGTTTGTGTACTTATTTTTTAAATTTTACTTTTAACAAATACAATGCTAACATAAAAAGTGGTAATGATAAAAAAATGGTTTTTAATTATTGTTTTAACCTTTTTTTTCGTAGAGTAACGTACTTTTCGATTTAAAAATTTAAGGGCAGTTATTTCTTTTTCCATATTAAAGAGTAAATGAAAATAACCATATCTTAGATATTTTTACTATGATTTCCTATGAAAACCTAATCCCACTAGTTTTAAACTTATTAGGTTACATTTTTCCTTTTGTGCAATAACGAAATTATATATGGTTTGCCCAATTGAGATTAACGATGTTTTAAAATGGAAGATTGAGATTATTATTTTTTATCTTGTTATACCTACTCCTGGTTTTTTACAGTAAAAATGAAATTGATATTACATTGTTTTATTTTTGTTATTTTCAATTTTCTTTCTGACACAACATGTTGTGGTAATATTCGGTTGATCTGTTATTATTTTCTGTACCTAAATATCATAAAGATCTTAGCTATCTCACAATGTTTGATATTTTACAATTGTTTGTTTTGTAAACTTAATTGACATTATTTTCCTATTAACAGAATAAAATTTTTTACTGTCAATTTAAAACTGTCTAAATAAAATTTGAAATAAAGAATTCTTTATGTTTCATTCATTTTAATTTCTCATAGAGGCAAATACGACTTTTCTAGAATACCGATTTCTCAGGAACTATTCGAAAGGTTTTTCTCAAGTTTTGTATTTTGCCATGTAAATTAACATTCTTCAAAATGATGTCAAAAATTTTATACCTTACTATTCAAAATTTTTTCGACTATTATTAATCAAATAATAGAAAATAATACATATTTACTAAAGTTGTTCGCTTCCCGTTATTTTGACAACGTTTTGTTGTTTTATCTATCTCATTCGCTTTTTAATTCTGTTTTAATCTATTTATTCACTACATTGTGCTTTTTAATTGGCTTATTTACATTGCCTTTCCTTGCTTTGCAAATTTTAGCGTCGCCTTTTAATTGTATTTGATAATTGTTTGTTTTACCACTTTACATCTTCACCTCCTATTGTTTTACATTTGAGATTTTCTTGGCTCCTTACGCCTTGTTCTTCTGTTTTACCTGTTGTCAATTTGTCATCGACTGTATTGGTTCTTTGACCTATATTAACTTGGGACCTCCGTTTACCTGTGACCTTTTAATGTTTTCTTATGTTTACTTCAGGTACACATTTTTTTTAATAGTTCACTTTATGTTTTACTGTTCTTGAATACATCAACAGTTTATACTTTGTGTCCTTTATATCCTGTCACAATGTTAATGATCGCTTTGGTTTAGCGACCCAACTTACTCCGTAATATTACTCGTTTTAATCCTATGTACTGCCTGCACATGATGCATTGTATGTCATACTGTACTTTCCTGCGATGTGTTGTAAAATTTTTCATTTGTATCTTTGGCTCACTATAAGGGAAGCCCCGTCGGCTTCGGCACTATAAGGCGGGACTCTCGGAGTATTTTAATTATTTTACTGCTGTTGCCATCAGACTCTGTAATGTTACTTTTTGTTTTTCTTGATTTTAATAAACATTTACCCGTATGCCCTAAATTGGGGCAGGTCGGGGTAAATATTTCATATTTACTAAAGTTAACTTTTTGCATCGAATTATCTTTGGACAAACGAATTTTATAATTGTGTGCAAATTTTTTAATTCACTTTAAATGTGCTCGAGATATGGCGAAATACGTAAGAAATAAAATTAACATTAAGAGGTCCAAATTTTGGGCCACTCTCCTAACCAAACTATTGGGACATTTCCCAGATTAGGGCTATATTTTGGAAGTCAAATCTAAATTAGCCGGGGTAAAAAAGTAGCGACTTTACACATTGTCGACTCCCGGGCACTTCTTTGGCACCGTATTTTGAAATTCGCCAATGTTACATTCGCCAAGTCNGCATTAATTAATTATAATTACCATACATGAGGTCACCCCCTCGAACTATTTAGATTGAATATTAATACTACATGAAAGATCCATCCAATCATTAAGCCAATAGTTATTAAGAGTAGTCCTTTTTTCCGCACTTACAATTAGGACTATTTGTACAATAATTTGTGTGTAAAAACGCAAAACACATTGAATAAGCGATCTCTGTGAATTGATTTTTAAAATTGTTTTATTTCTTGAACATAACGAAAATACTGAAGCATACGAAATATTTTAACTTCAGGAAGAGGTTCTGATGAGTACCAATAATCTGAATCCGGGCTGCAACCTTTTATGGGTGTTAGATAAACCTTATCTTCTTTTCCTTTCACAGATTTAGGGCTATAACAAGAAGGAAAAAAATAGCTCTGATTTTAGCTCTACTTACTGAAATGACATATAATGTGGTGAAATCTTTAATCAAAGAACACATATTTATTATATAACTATTTAATAGCTGTACACATTTTTAATGCTCCTTTTTTTGTGGGTACAAGTCCGAAGAACCATGGAATTTTCAACTGGGAAAGTAATTCCTGTGATAAGATATTTTGGTAGAAAGTTTATTTGAAAAAGAAATATTTTAAGATATGTAATGATTTTGAAGCAAATTCTAATTAACTACAGTTGAACTTGCTTATAACAAGTGAAAACTGACTGCAATATTAGCTCATTAAAACAAAGTACTAGTAAGAAGTGGGCTCGAGAAAAAAAAATATAAGCTCATACAGACTTACTTTATTTTTTATTTCTTTAAAAGACAAAAAAGCTGTATAATATACTTTGAACAATCTTATTGTTTCTTTGTTGTCTTATTTTTTCTTTGTTACAATTGTGGTTCTTTTTATGACTCCTTGCCGAAAAACATTTTCAATATTAAAAAGGAACTCAATAGAATTTCAATATTATTCTGAAGATACTTAATGATTGCTACGTTGATTCAATACAAAAAGTTTTTGCATGATTTATGTTGTATCATTATAATAAAAATTTGAAAATGTATGAGAATTTATTGGTCACCCTGTGTTTAAACAAAATAATATTTAGACTCTTATAAGGCATCTAAAACAAATGCATAGTTTGCTTTAATACACAAAATAAATTTAAACTATACTCCTGATCATTGAAAAATTAAAACATATATTTAGTTATTAATACAAAAACAAACATAAATTTTATTCAGAATTGTGAAATTTAAAAGCACAATGTTCTGAAAATGAAAAAGTATACGAATGTAGGTATGTAACAAGAAAAAAATTAAATGGTTAAATTTTAAAACTTTTTGTATCTTTTCATGATGATTTTTTATGACACTACAATACCAAGTTACCCTAAAAATGACCAACTATTAACTAAGGGAAATAAAAAGAGAGAAATAAAATGTACCAGTTAATGCTTTCTATTTAGAAAACCAGAAATGATCTTATCAAATTTTAAAATTAGTAACTAAGTTCATCAACAGATATAGAACTGCTGATTATATATAAATTGAAACCAATGTTTTCTGCTATAAGTCATTACCATTCTAACTGAAATATTTACACAGTCATCTGCTAAGTTTGTCCCCAGACTGTGCCAAATTTTTGCCAATGGTGAGGTTATTTCTAAAACTTAGAGAACAGCGTCCTCCTTTGATAAAATTAGTAACTAATTTTGAAATTTGATGAGCGAAAATTCTCTCATTTCCTGAGCACAATGCAAAAAACCATACATTTATATGCATCTTCTTAGTCTTTCCTGTAATTGATCAGACAGAATAACATGTATTTTTTTATGTACTCATTTTTCAAATGGAGTTCAATATTTAATTATCTTATAATTGCTCTAAGCTTATTCTATTTTTAAACGTACATTTTTTTTAAATGTTAATGAGTAAGAAATAAAAATTCCTTATTTCTCAAACTGAAAAACATAATGACAAACACAAAATGAAAATCGTGTATTAATAAAATAAAATGAATTACCATTTCGAAAGATAAAATTTGTACAGTTGCACCGGACATCTAACTGAATCTTCAATGCTTTGTTGATCATATAATATTTCATCTTGTTTAGGTTCTGGCTCTTTATTTTCATCTGTTAAATCTAAAAACAAATTTATCAATGTTTTATTGTTGATACTTAAGTTTACTCATATGATCTCTTCTAGTAGCAAGTTCTAAGTATGTTAATGAAATATAAAAGAGTGTTTCAAACAAATAAGTATAGTTTAAGAAAAACTTTTACTCTGATAGTAAGCCTGAAATTTGATAACCTAAATAATCCCTAAAAAGCGTCTTAAAAATATCAACAACAACAAAAAATTTGAGTTACAACTTTCATTTAAGTTTGATTGAAAAAACATAAATAACGAATGCTATTATTTTATTCATATTTTAATATTTAAATAAAAAACATTTTTTAAAAATTTTAACGTAAGGAAAAAGTAACATAAAGGGAAAACAAGGTTACATGAAATATTGTGAGTTGCAATATTAAAAGCAAAAACATTTCACATAAAAAAATGAGCCAATGCTATAAAAATTCTAAAATGTACACTAAAATATTAAAAAACATTACATAAAATGTTTTTAAAAAAAGCACATAAATGAAAATATATCTGTACAGAAAATCCCTAAACAAGCCTTAAAAGGGACAAAAAATACTGACATCATCAATATCCCAGTCTTACTAATGGCATATGAATGAAATTTCATTAACTCTGGGTACAGGATGAAATTTGTTGTGTCCCCTTCCTCAAAGCACAAAAAAAATCGTATTTTGAAGAATTTTTAGAAATATTTATAGCCGAAATTGTAGATTTTAAATAAAAATTAAGGAATTTCCCACAATTTTTAATAAAAATACTACAAAAATTTCTTTTTATATTACAATTTGACTAAGCCCTCGGCAATCTTGGGGGTACGATCTTGCACTTTGTCTTATGTTAAATATGAGGTAGAAAGTGTACTTTAAACTTGTACAATTTCTGTATCTGCATGTATTTAACATACCTATAACTTCTTCTGGCTCAAAACTTATGGCTGAGCTTCTTTTTCCAGCAGCATTAGTTAAGTCATAAACAAAAACATGTTTAAATCGCAGATTTGCATGCGATTTCACACTCCTTAGTTTGAAGTATTTTGTATTAAAATATAAAATCGATGATAGCAACACTGCAGGTGAATGAGCACCTAGCTGACCAGCTTGCCACAGAGTTTCCTCTTCGATTAGAGAGAGAGATCGACCTAAACATAAACAAAAGAATTATTACGAACACATTGAGCAAGAATGTTCAACCTAAAAATAAAATAATACTCAAAAGAATAATACATTTTTATACAGATTAGACAGTTGATAGTTAAATAATTTCAATATATATATATATATTTTTTAAAATAAACAGAAAAAATAATTCAAAACTTTGCAACATGTAGATATTGTGAGAGCTATATAAAAGAAAGGAATAAGAGAGATTTTTTTTACCATAAGAAATTTTCTGATAATAGCTAATTTTTAAGTAACATGTAATTAAAAAGAGATATAGTGAAACCTGTCAAATTGATTACCCTTGTAAATGGACCTCTTTTATCAGCAACTGAATTAATTCCATATAATAAAAGGGAGCAACATGACCAACGACCTATCTTGTATGCTAATAGTGAAATAAATCAAATTTATTTAATGCTGCTGTTGAATGGTATTCTAAAGCCTTCATTCATAAGTTGATAAAAAATTAAAAGAAATATTTTTATATAGTTATGTGTAGAGTATTAGTACTTTATTTGCATTGCACTGCACAATGAGTCCACCTAGAAAGCATCCTTGAGGATGATTCGAAGACACGCCATCACAATTCTAATCTTCTGCAAAGGGGATTGCTCCCCTGCTTTTGTCAGATCGACGATCTGTACACGTTTAGCATTTAATGGTAGAACAGTTTAAACAGCACCAAAAATTGCACTCCCTCTGCCCCATCGCAGGCTGATAGTGGTACAGCTAACCATAACCGGTGATGCTTGATTTTGAGAATCCATTAGAAGCCATGTCTCTTGATCAGCAAACTTTTGGACCCAGGTTACTTACTAGAATTACCGTATATTTGCTTAAATAGTGGGAATAATTAATATAAATCAAAAGCTAACTTGTGAGATTACTATATAAGGAGAAAATTAAGGGTGTTTGTTTTTTGAAAGCCAACAGAATTATTTTGTAAGCATAACAAGAAAAGGTTTATTATAGATATTTATTTTTTAAAACTTAATTTAATATTTTAAGTTAAAGGAGTAAATTGAAATTCATTGTAGTTAAAATAGTCTAGTCACTAAATATGCTATACCAGGGTTATTGCACGTAACAGCTTTTGCATATAAAGAACTGGGTGCGTAGCGTTTTTAAAAAGTGCTTACTTGCGATTTTTAAAAACCCTTCAAGGTGCTTTTTTCATTGGGTGTTTTTAAAAAGTGCTTAAAAGCATCCAATTTATCTCGGATACGTCTCAGACCCAGAATGGACAAGCAACAAACATATTGAACATATTGTCTCAAAATGCAGAAAACGATTAAACTTACTTAAATATATTGCGGGCAAAGATTGGGGAGCCGATGCTGTCACGTTAAGAGATACCTATTTGTCTCTCATTAGACCCATCCTGGAATATGGCTTTCCTGTGTACTCCTGTGCTTCTGCCACTAACCTGGATAAATTGGAAAGGGTCCAACTAAGTGCTGCAAGAATAATTACTGGACTCAGACGTAGTTGCCCTAAGGAAATAGTCCTCTTTGAGGCTGATCCTCAACCCCTCCAAACTAGAAGAAAGGCTAATCTCACCAATTACTTCAACAAACTTTCTAGCTATGGTCAGCACAATAGAACCTCTCTTTACCTTAACAACTGGCGCAACAAACAGCGACTGAAGAAAAACAGTCCATTCAGTCATGCTGAACTTCTGCATTTGCCTTCTGAAGACGTTGAGCCCCACTCCTTAAAATCTTGTCTGAATCCTTCAGAGGGAATCCCCCGAGTCCATTTCCACTTCGACTTTTCTGCTCCGGTCACAAAGAAAGATCTTATTCCAGCTGAACTTAGGCAGCTAGCTTTGGAAATTTTAGGCGAGATTCCCAGTGACGCCGTAAAAATTTACACAGATGGNCTAGTTATTTATTGTTAGCTTGTTTTTTAGGGTTATTAATTTTTTTTAGCATTAATTGTTAATTTTTTTATTAATAATTGTTAATTATTTTGTGTGTTTTTGTGAATTTTAATTTAATTGTTTCATATGCTTCATAGTGTAATAACATTTGTGTAATAACAATTTATAGTGTAATAACAAATGTGATCGGTAGCGTGCCCAAAAGATTGTGTCGGGTGCCATAAATGGCACGCGTGCCATTGGTTCGCCATCCCTGAATAGCCCAACAGTGAAAATAGTTGCCCTAAAACTATAAAATAGTAGCGAAATGAATGACCAAATTTGTAGTCTAAATGTCATGTCCGCTAATTAAAAATACCGGTAGGGGACATAGACATTTACTTACCATTCATTTTAGATAGTGCATCAATTATATTTTATAAGTAATATTTGTATATCGGTTATTTTAAAAAATAATCTACATATATACAAAAAATACGTAACAGGATGCACATAGAAAAATAGCATGTGATCTAAAACTACTGCTGGCAGAATAAAAAATAACAAATTAAATTTAACCTCAGAAAGTAAAATTTAAAAACAATTTGTTAAATCCAATTGTTACTGCTGATAGAATAAAAAAATAAATAAAATTTAACCTCAGAAAAAAAATTTAAAACGCTTTGTTAAATCCAGTTGAAAATTACATTTTCGGTGACAATGAGGTATAAAGGTGCTGAAGGAGGAGATGGAGGAAAAAAAGGGAAATATTTTCCCAGATATATTTTCAAGATGTATTATTGAAAGATCTTTGCTAGAAATGAATCAAAAAAAGTTGTTTAACAGTCAATTTGGGGCAAAAATAGTTGCTTTTTCAGGCAAGAAAAAGAAAATCGAAGAAGCTGCAAATAGTCACATTTTAGTCCCCTGCAGAAATTCTGACAGTAAAAAAAAAAAGTATGAAGGAAGAATAAATCCCAGTTCTCTTATTTTTGTATGAAAAAAATCCAAACTTAAGCTTCAAAGGCAATGATTTTCAACTGGCTGACTATACACAGTTTGGATAATGCCTTTTTTTGCAATATACACAGCAAAATAAATTACTAAATAAAAAAATTTAATATTTTTGTGAAGAACCACATTGATTCACTCTTTATTCCCAATTAAATTTGTTTTCTCGTATTTCCTTTGAAAAATAATGTAGGTTTTTTGTTTTTTCTTTTTGGAAATTTACATTAATATTTCGGAGTATGTACTAAGATTTACTGTTTTGAAATTAGCAATATAATCCAAGTAGAAGCTGCCAAACAGATTCTTCTCATCCTCTGAGATAAAAAAACTTGAGAAGGGCTTCCATTTTTTCACAGACATATTTTCATTCTCTCACAGAATATTTTGTAAGTTTCCCTCTTCGTTTCATAAGTTTTAAAATTACACATAAATTTTATCTGAAGCATAACACTGAATACTTACAATCAACATAAATTGTTTTGTCTGGAAATTTTATTAGTAGGCAATTAAGGATGTTAAAATGCACACTTCTTATTTGGTTTTGTAATTCAATATTTATTTTTGTTTGGTATAACTTGATAAAAGTTGGCCATTACTGACCATGGTCCGAAGTCCTCTACCTAAATATAGTCTAGGGAACGATTTAAGTTACATAATGATTTGTGTATAACGGGTGTCTTCAGCTGCAGGCAATATCATTTCAATTTTTTTAAACAATGTGACTGGTGATTTTATTGAACAATGTAGTGAATAGCTAAGACATTGTTCAAAACGCTTCAAACATCAAAATTTGAAAAAAAAAAAATAAAGCAAGATCTTAATATATTACGTCTCCACACATTACATTGTATATTAACTAGATAGATGTAAAAATATATTTCTAGAAAGATATTTCTAGGTATGAGAAACATAATTCTCTATATCAAAAGATGATTCTAAGATTTTTTAATACAATGCTTTGATTTCAAATTACATTGCAATAATGTTCTAAAATGAAAACTTACCTAATACAATGTACAGTATTGCTCCACCGGAAAGGGTACGTTCATTAGGATCAGTCATAGTTTGAATAAAAGAAGATAAAACTTTATTCCACTGGTGCAGAGGTACAGCTAAGATATCTTCCTTATACCTTTTACTACCTTTAGTAATATCTTTATTTTTGTTTCGAGCCCAAAACTGATAAGCATTAACACCATAAGTCATCTGAAAATAAATATTCTGAATCAAATAAAGATTTTATTATAAATATAGTAAAACAACAAACTTTTGTACAGTGTGCTAGGAACAAAAAAACAGACCATCGTGAATAACTTTTGATTTAATAATCGGATCTTCACGTTCTAGGACTCGATCTTAATGACTTGAGGGTGTGATGATATTTTAAGTTACAAAATCAGACACAAAAACGTACTTTCTCTGAATAAACATACCTTCTTTTCGACGGATTCGGATTCCTATAATATAGAGAGAAATCTGGGAAATATGGTCCCAATAGTTTGATCAGGAGAGCCCTCCACATTTTTGACCCCTTAATGTTAATTTGACTTTTTCCGTACTTCACTATATCTCAAAAACTTTTTAAGTGAATTGAATAATATTTGCACACAATTATAAAATTCACTTATATAAAAATAGTTCTATGCAAAAAAATAACTTTTAGTAGTAATTTATTTTTTATTTAATAATGGTCAAAACATTTTGAGCTGTAAGGTATAAAATTTTTTGCTTCATTTTAAAGAAAATAATTATACATGGCAAAATACAAAATTTGAGCAAAATCAGTTGAATAGTTTCTTAGAATTTGAATTTTTAAAAAGTCATATATTTAAAATTCGATTTCTCAGGAACTGTTTGACCGAATTTGCTCAAATTTTGTATTTTTTCATGTAAAATTATAATTTTTAAAATGACGCAAAAATTTTTATACCTTACAATTAAAAATAGGTTTGACCATTATTAAATAAAATAAGAATAAATTTTTACTAAAAATTTTTTTTCGCATGGAATTATCTTCGGATAAACGAATTTTATAATTGTGTGCAAAAATTTTGGAATTCACTTAGAAAGTTTTCAAGATACAACAAAATATGCAAAAAGTAAAATTAACATTAAAGGATACAAATTTTGAAGTGCTCTCCTGACCCAAAACTATGGGAACCATATTTTCCAGATTGTGGCTTTGGGGATCAAAAAGACGAATCTGTCGAAAAAAAGGTGTTTATTTAGAGAAACTAAGTTTTTGTGTCTGATTTCATAACTTAAAATATGGTCTGCACTTAATAATTAGCATAGTTGAAGTCCTCCCCTTGAGCCATTAAGATTCAATTCTAGAATATGAAGATACCATCATTAGATCGAAAACTATTCAGGGTGGTCCCTTTTTTCGGGTGCATAATAATTATAAAAAATACAGGGTGTCTCAAAAATATTGCAGTAACTTCTAGAGGAGGTAGGGCAGATCATAAGGATTGAGAATGGCATGTCATTGTATGTTATTAAGTCTTACTCTGAATCCCACTATGGTAGTAGTATTGCATGGGTACTGCAAGGGCCTTCCCCTCCATGCTCTCCTGATTTTAATGAAGCAGTTTTTAAATACAATGGTAAAGTGATTAATAAAACTTCGAAATCATATAACATTTTTAACAGCATTTGCTAATAATGTGTCCACTAAGATAAATAAGATGCCTTAATACTTTGTACAATTAGTGGACTGTCTCTAGAGTGCAAAATTCACGATTTTAGAATTACAAATAAATGTTACAATAATGCCACAACAATTACGAAGGAAAGAAAAACTGAATTTTTTTGATCTAACATAAAACTTCAGAAGCATATTTTTCAAATTCCTAATATAATCATAAAAAAATTTCTTTTTGAAAGAATTATAGTAAATAAAATATAAATTAAATTAAAAATTATTTTTAATGGATGCAATTTGCTTAATAACTTTTTATAAGAATCTAATATTCTTAATGAAAGAGTTTTTCTAATTTCAAATGCAGCTAAACATTTCAATGGGGAAAAAAATGCTGATTTTTGAATGACCCCTCAGTATACCATTTCTAAATTTCAGTGATTAATGAATTGTTATTTTGATTTAAAATCATTTTAAATAAATAATATGAAGAGATCAATTTGAATTTCGGGAATATTTTAAATGATCTGAACGATGGGGAGAGGGTTTGACATGCAAAGTTAGCATGCATCAAAATTTTTATTCAATTGTAAGGCACATTTCAAAATATTCAAATGACTACTAAAATATTAATTTTCAAATTATTCAAAAGAGGACCAAAAAATTAAAAAGAGTACTAAAACGGACATTACTCTAAAAAACAGACTTTGGAGGGAAAAGAAAAACATTTGGGAGTAGTGGTAAACTTGTGATTAAATTTATCATATAAAAACATAATTTATAATACTTTGCAATTAAAATATTAATATTAATTGAAAAAATATTACCAAAAGATCTTCAGGTGAAGTTTTAAATTCTTTTGGTTCTCTCTTTATGTTTGGCCATGTTCTGCGACGAATACATCTTGAAATATGGACTTTTAAAGTGGTACGCTAAAAAGGGACAAAAAATAATTTTAAATAATGTATTACATATAATGAACTCCTTCAAATGGAAAAAAACCTTTCTAAAAAAGAAATATCATACATAACAGTTTTAAATATTTTATGAATCAAAGTTAGAAACTGAAAATAATGTAAGTATACATAATTCATCCAGATATAAGTGTACATATTTATCTAGAGACAAGTGTACATATTTATTTAGGAAAATAAGGATGATACAAATAAAAATAAATTATTCTAAGTCATAAAAATTTTAAAATTTTGTATAAAATTAAAATAATATGAAAATATAGTTGCAAAGTAGAAAAAATTTATTAAAAACAATTTTTACTCCTTTGTGTTAAATTTGAATCATCAAACAATAGTATTAGTCAATTTTAGTTCCTTGTATTTTGTCTAGTTTCTTCCATTTCATTCTACTCTTCTGATTTTTCCTACTTTCTTCCAAAAAGAAATAGTTTTCTTTTGGATGAAATGCCATCCCTGAATGAACTCTTTTCAGGATTTCAAAAATGAAATACAACTGTTCTATAAAAGTTTTTTTCCATTAAAATAAACATTTTTAAGAATTCAACACATAAAATTTTTTAACACCTTTGCAATCATTATAAAAACTGAAAATAACTCAATTTTTTTTATACAGGCTGTAAAGAAAGAATTAAGAAATAAAAATTTCAATTATTTTATTGATTAGTACATAATTTTTTTCTTCTAAAGAATCTTTACACTTTTATTTCGATTGGTTTTGATTCTTCGAAAAAATCTTTACAAGTTTTTAATCTTATTGGTTCTTGAACAATAAAAATCTCATTACCACTTGCCTGCATTTAGATATGTTTGTTTTTTTGTCATGCTTAAATCCTTTAATTTTATGAGTATATTAAAATCTATTGAGACACAAATTAATTAACAATTATTAACATAAATTATAACGACACAATTTTGTATACAACTAAAATAAATAATAGAAAAACAGTTATGAAAACTTTTTACTTTCTGACACTACATTAAATTTAATTTAAAATTTAAGTTCCTACAATAGCTATAGTGAAACAATTGTTTTGATCATCATTTGTTTCTTTCATTTTCAATAGCTTCTTCTGGGGTTTTTTTTTCGGTTTCTTCTAGTGTTCTGAAAGAAATAGGTTTTTTTTAGACAAAATGCCTACCTTGATTGTATTTAAAGACCATATTAAGAAGAAACATTCCTACAACTGCTCATTGCAGATCAGGGCATGGAAGTTAATGCTCCACAATGACATGATGCAGAGTACTACAATGTGGTCAGCAATATGCACTGGCTGTCTTTACTTCACAGACAAGATAGTACTCATTGATATGGAGCTGTGTGGGCTTCAATCCATAACAAAAGATAGAACCCCAGTCTTCCACAGTAACATCTCATTGCCTTAACCACTGTACCATCCTAGCTCAAGTTCATATACATCCATAAGTAAATTTTGTCAAGCTTAATCACTAATAAAAACGTAAAGAGAACAATAAATAAATAAAATTCTTTTGAAATATTATGAAGACCTTACTTACTTGCATTCGTACTTCGGTAGTTGAGGAATATTCCTTTTCTGCATTGGAAACATCCATAGGTTCAATGCGTTGCACGTCTGTCGATGCATCTGGCTTTGTTGTAGGGGGCTAATAAAAACTAACTTTTAGGAATGCATTTAAATCAATGCCTTTATGCAAGAAATTTCAAGAATTTAATTTTTTTCTCACCATTTGAAGAAAAAAAAATGTGTAACCTACCTGAGTTCCTCTTGGAGAAGAGCTTAAGGCTGTTCTCAGAGAACCTGAGTTCAAAGGAGATTCATCAACCCTATAAATGTCTTTGGATGACACCAGCTTTGTAGAGGACTAAGAAGAAAATAAAAATTAGCTCAGTCAAAGAAAAAAAATCTGTAAAATAATTTTGTAACCACAAAATAAGTTATTAAATGGTAATTTTTTGTGAAACTATGACCTCTAGGTAATATACCTACTATTTTCAATATCAATGGAACATTTACTGATAGCTCTATAAATTCAACTACAACTTTTTACCCAATTGCCATCATAATTCTTCTAACAAAATTATTGCCCAAGTAAGACAGCATTTCCTGTAAACCAGTATTTTAAAAACACGCCACTATTTAAATTGTAGGAAACAACATCCTAATGTAATGAAAATATAAAGTCTGCGTTAACAAATGTTCAGGCCTTGAGGGCCCCTCAATAGAAGAAAAGAAAAATGTTTCAATGCAAATCGACATTTCAACTTCGTATTCACAAATTACAGAATAAAATTAAAAACTTGTTTCCTGCTATTTTATAGATAATGCTGTAACAGACTAACAAAAATAATTTTATTACTTGTTACAACAAATTCGAATTTCTAGATTAGAAGTTTTACTAGATGAATTAAAAAATAAAGTTTTTAAAATGAAACTTAAAATATTTAACTTGCTTAAAAAAAATTTAAAATTTCTACTTTTTTGTAAATTATGCAACCCAATAACGAAATTAATATCAGTTTATTAATTTCGTTATTCAGTTACTAACTTGTTTTTAAGTTTCCATTTGGGTCTCATGCTCCCAGTCCAACAATGCCTAAGCCTACGTAAGACATTATTTCCAACATCAATGGAACACATACTATGGAACCATAAATTCATCTAACAGCCATGATAATTCTTCTCACGAAATTGTTGTCCAAGTAAGGCAGTATTTACAGCTGGAAGTCTCAATCGAACAAGTACTATCGATATTTATTGCAGAGAAAGAAATAGTCTTCTGGTGATTAATGACATAAAACATTGCATGTCGAGCAAAACCAGTTTTCTTATTTTGCTATTTAGTAGTTCCATTTATATTCCATGCTATTTCCTATTATTATACCGTGTGAAAAAGTGTTTAAACAAGAAAAACTCTGATGAATTTGCATAAACAACAGAGGATTTCATTCAGAAATGGCTAAGCTATAACTTTTTAACAAATAGAATTTTTTTTGGAAAAGCTTATTGTAATAAATTAAAAACTTTATCATACATTAAATAATTCACTTTGTCAAGTTTTTAAATCAAGCAGTTTTGATGAATAAATATATTTTATAACCTTTTACATCATTTTCTTAGATGAAGAATTGGTCAAAGGCACAAATTTTCTACTTCGATAAGAAATATGGACAAGGCTCAAAATTAAAAGTGGTCCATTGGTCTGAGATTCCATTCATTTGATTCAAACCACCATAATATAGCACCCCTGACCAGCGATTGGTATCAAGAGCTTGAGAGAGGCCTTTTAACTCACATTCCTTACATATAACAAATCAGGTAAGAATTATAAACAAGAAATAAAAATGGCTGAAATAATTTTTTTTCTTGGTGTCACTAAGAAAAAAACAAACAAACTTGCTGTCCTAATAAACAGATCTTAGAAATTATAATTAAATATTTTCAAAGAAATACATTGAAGTTTTACTTCATTAACAGAAGAAGAATTTGCAACACCACTATTCAATACTGATTCAGACTCATAGGTACCATCTCCAACATCTTCCTTCTTAGTTTTAAGACAACGCTTCTTACGCTGCCTCCCCATATCTTCTTAAAAATACAATTATAAAACTTTCAGAGAAATAGCATCTGCAAACATAAGGAAGTAATAATTAATATGTTGTGGTACCAAAAAAGTATATAAAAAATACTTTTACATACTTGAAATAGGAATACTTAATATTAAATTATTCTACATGTTTGGTGCAATTTTTAATAATTTTGGAATGATTGTTTTTCTTTTATTTCCATTCCAAAATACTATGCATCAGCATATAGGACAAATTGATGTTATATAAAAATTTATATTCATCAAATTAAGTATAGATATGCTTTTACGTTGAATCTATGATTTTTGGATTGTTTAGCACACTATAAGGTATAAGCAAAACCCCTGTATGTACCTCATTATTTAAGCCACTCACTTTGCTATTTTTATTTTTTCATCATTCTAATATTTCTAAACAGTTTCAATTGAAAAATGTATTGCCTGCAATATTTCATGCTTTCTTATATTAAAATTTGTTTTGATTTACCAGACAAAAAAAAAAAAAAATTTTATTTTAAAAAAAAAAACTGAATGATACTAGTGTTTTCAATTGCATTTTGCTAAATAATTTCATTAATGTAATAATGATATCTTCATACATAAAGACAAGTAAAAGAGAAAATAGTTTTAGGTTGTCTTGAAGAAAAAAATAATTTTTTTTTTCCTTCCTAATCCTGATAACATATGTGTTGTTTAAGTTAGTCACCTGACAGCTAATCTGAAAAGCCAACGGTTACCTTAAAAGGACTTTTTTAAGGTGAATTTTCTACATATTCACTGTGGAGACTTTTTTTTCTAAAAATATGAATAAATGAATATATCCAAGAGTGAATAAATGGTTCTTTGACATTGTATGATGAAATAACTCTTGATGTCAAAACTTACATGAAAATAAGGGTACTTACATATTATCCATTTTCACCAAATTTGGAAATGGTTCAAATTAAAATATCTTGTTTTTGCAATAAATTATATTTGCAATTTCTAATTGTCAATTACTATATTAAAATAAATTAGAAAGATAGCAAAATTACCATGACATGTTATTGACAAAAATGGTCAATGAGATAATATGAGAATACAAATATAACCCTCAGACTAATTATACAATCTTTATTTTTTAGCTTTTATTAACTTTTTTTTTATCATTATACTTTTATTTTTCTAATTTTCCTTTTAATTCTTTCACAAACTAAAGTACACTACTAGTACAGACTAACTAAACAATAAGCAATTTTATCCAAATATTTTATCAATTCTTAAATAAATTTTTTACTTTATCCAAAGTAAAGAAAATAGCAAGATAATAATGTTTGAGCAATTTAAAAGAAATTAATACAGGTTTTACAAAGAAATTGGTTATAAAAAAGAAATTGGTTGAAAAAATTGTGCAGTTATACCTATACCATGCAAAATATTCATACTGAAATAGTTGAGAATTCAATTTAACAAAAAATGAACTTTTAAAACAAGAAATTGTGCCTAATAGCATAGACCACTTAAGAAAAAACATACAAAATCCAAATTTAAGTAATATGTATTCGCACCAATAGGATTCAAACCATTTACGAACCCATGTACTTTAAAAGGAAAAATAAATAGTATCGTAATTGGTCTCCTCTTTAAGCCATTTTATTTATTATTTAAGCAAATCAATTTTCATTTGCTTATTAGTAAATTAATTTTATTTAAGCAAATTAATTTTTAATAAGAAAAGGGAACTGAGACCTCACAAAAGAGAAAATCATAGCAGTTAGAAAAATTTCAGTGTTTTTTTTAATCTTTACAATATTAAACATTGATCATGAAATTTTCATTACAAATAAAAAAAAAACTTTTACGCGTAAACATTCTTCAGTTTTAACTGCCTCCGATTTCGACTTTTCAAATAATTTGTTTGCTCTAAAATTCGGGAAATTCGATGAGCATATCAGTTAAATCAAATTATTCTAACTCAATGTTTTTAGTAAAATTGCTAAAACAAAAGGAATAAAGTTTTACATTGGTATATGTCAACTGATTAGTAATAAATTTGACCAATTTTTGATAGTTAAAAATAATCTATTAATTCGTCTATTTTGTATAAATTATGCATAAAGGATACTTGTAGAAATGTATTTTGACTTATAAAAATTATTCAATTAAAAATACTATTAGCTTAATAATTCACAAATTTATATTTTAAATATTTTTTTGGGTGTAACTGATGTTATAAAAATAATAATTACTGACCATATAATATAAATCAGAAAATTCGAAAAACAAAACAACAATCGCCGCAGACTAATTCTTTTCAAATACTGTTATGGGTAAGGAGTATTTAGAAGTATGTTAATCAGTTGCAGTTCGTAAAATAGTAATAAATTTATTGAATATTCTTGTTATAATGCAACGAAATAAACTGAACAGTTGGAAAGTTTTAGTGTCATTTTGCGAATCGTTATCTGAAAGCGCTGAAAGGAATCCTGTTGGAAGAAATATGCAATGCTCGCTTGTAGCCTTTTTAAGTACTGAATTCCTCGTAGGATCGCAAAGAAAAGAAGACGCTCGTGTCGGTAAAAATATAACATTAATCTAAAACTGATGTGAAGCTTTGGAATGATATAACTGTTTAATATAACGCTTGATACGGAAAAAAAGTTGCAAGATGAGTTAATATAGTTTAAAGGAAAGCTCAAAATTGAAATTTTACAAACTAATCAATAATATTTACGTGTGAGGCCAAGCACTAGCGAATTAAATTATCTCGGTTGTCGGCATCCTTTGATCTCCTTTGAAAAAGTGGGTATCTGGCAATATATTTGACATTCATTAACAACAATAACAAAAGCACCGACAAAGCCGAAGACGCCATTTTAATGTGTGCCAGCGATCGAAGATTAAATCGAAAATCTATGTTTATTAACACTGGTTAATATTCAGTTGAGTAGGTGGAGAGGTAAGGTATGCTCTTGAGTTTTGGTAGACATCTCTAACTTCTTTTTATTTGTAAAATATTGCAACTATGCAAACCTGTCATGTACTGGGTTGAACGCATTCCTGTGGTCTGCGTCAAGTGGATGATATCTTTTAAACAAAGACGGTTATTCATTTGGCACTTGAAATTTATCAATATTTCAATAAATGGGTTTCATTATTTTATGTACTGGTTTTTTGTAACGATGCTGTTTCTTCCTGTATCTCCGAAATTCGTAAATTAAATTTTGTCATCATCTGGGTGTCAACGATTTAAACTAAGTTTTAAGTTGTAAAATTTTAGCTTTTAATCTTATAAATTATACCTATACTGGTAAATATTCCATGTACTGTTTATCAGCAAACAATTAAGAAATGTAATTTTTTTTTAAATTTATGCCAGATACTTTAGTGTTTTTTCATTTATATTAACATATTAATTTGAATTGCATTACTAATTAAACTTTTTATCTTGTGTTAAAGTTAGTGTAAAAACGTATATAAAAATTTTCGTACTTTTATTTGGTTTTGAATATGAAAATGACATATTTTATAATATTTAAAGTTATGCATTATTATTAAAATATCTTCTGTGTACCAGAGCTCATTCTAGGCAGAAAAAGAGGGCATTATTATTCTAAAAAGGCATTAATTTCTTTTTATGAGCTTTACACGTTCTATTAAAAAACATTATCAATTAGTAAGAGAAAAAAAAAACTTTTTACTTTACAAAAAGTAGCAAAGCAATCATATTAATTTCTAATTTTTAATCCAGTTAATGAGCATAATAATTTATTTCAAATGCATGCATATATTAATAAAATAATAAATGTATGCTTTTAAGTGTCTGTAGCTGTGATTTAATAATTAAAATGATCAATAATAATAATGATTTAATAAATTTATTGTTAATAAATTTATTATTAATGATTTAATAAATTTATTATATTAGTTATTAATTTTATTATAGGTGCTTTAAGTAGTATAACAATATAATTAAAAATGCAGCATTAAATAAAATAATATGCATTGAAAATATACATTAAAGATAATTTTAAAACTTATTTTTTAATACCATACAAAAAAAAAAAATTCTAAAGATTAATTAAAAAATAGCATACAAAATTCAATAAAGCATCTTACTCAGTTCTCTTTCAATACCTATTATATTAGACCAATTGAAGAAACTATCAAAACATGGATTTAATGATGGTCCATTTTTTATTTCCAACATTTTTTAGATAGCCCTGAACTTAAAATCTGCACAAATGAATATATTTTGTAGTAAAGTTCAAATTAAAAAAGAAAATTGAAAATTTTATATTTTTTTCATTTGATTATATTAAATTGAAAACTATTTATGCCAGTAACAGAAATAAGAATTTAAATTATAAAATTTTTTTTCATAAAAAACTGTTTTCAATACCATACAAATTAAAAAAGAAATTTAAGATTAACTAAAAAATAACATACTAAATTCAATAAAGCATCTTACTACCATTTAAGCTTTTGATTATAGTAAGCGTAATGTTAAAATAAAATAAAAAGTTCTTCACTAATTTCATTAAACCAATTCAAAAATCTTATCAGAACATGGATTTAATGATCTGTTTCATTTCAACCATTTTTTAGATAAGCCTGAACCTAAAATCTGCTGAAATGAATATATTTTATAGTGATAATTTGTTGTGTGAAGCTCAGTTCAGTTGAATTGTAAGTGGTGTTCCTGAATTTATGGTAGTTTAAGTACAGCCATAAGAATTTTGATTGCATGCTAAAGCTATGAGTTATCCAAAAGACACTTCTGGTTTACCAAAAGCTGAAAAAAACTCCTAAACTCCTCTGTGATTGGTTGACGTCATCACCAGATATTCCCAATATGCTAAGTTTTTGCTCCTTTTTTTGTCTCAAAAATCAATACTTTTCCAATTGGCCTTTTGATTCTTTAACCCTTTGCCAACGACGGGCACAGCATATGTGCCGCTCAAAAAACTTGCCCTTACAACAGCGTTAGCACCTGCTTCTTTCCCCTGAACTTGTTTGACCACCTATTAACCTGTTATTTCATCACACTCCTCTTTTAATAGACTCTTTAAACTTTTTCAATTTTGTCCAAGAAACAATACTTAAATATTAATTTTATGTACATAGTAAAAATGTTAATGATTTAAATATAATTTTTTATCTCTTATGATATTTGTTTTCAATTTTATAAGAGTGTACTTTATGCAATTTTAAAGGCGATAAACAAGTAAAATAGTTAGACAAAATCTAAATAATAAAAATTTCCATTTGATATAATTTTTTAAACCGATAAATGAAATAAACTTTCAAAATATTAAAAAAAAATTATGCGGTTTACTGTTTTATTCACATCTCATTTCAAACAGTTTTGAAAGCTTCTTTTTTTTATCAATATCTAATAGGATGAATTTGTTTATAACTTTAAGGCAAGAATAAAACTTGAAGCAAGGCTCTATTTATCAAAGTATTTTGTTTCTTTTGTAGCGGTCTATTTATAATCCTTCAAGAATCGAGAACATCAAAATACACATTTTAAAAAAATAAAATTTTAAATACTTAGTAAAATGTTTGCTTCTTTTTTAGAGAAATTGTTAATATACTTAGAAAAAAATAATCTATAAATGTTTCTTTTGTAGAAGTTTATTTATAATCCTTCAAGAATCAAGATCACTAATATACACCTTGTTTTTAAATCATAAAAATTTTAAATAATTTATAAAAATTATATAATTATTATTTTTTAGAGAAATTGTTAATAAATACATTTAGAAAAAACTTTTAAAAAATTATGTTAAATTATGTCTACATTAGTAAAACAAGTAAGCCAAAATATGTATAACTATGCCAAAAATAACTACTGGTCTACAACCCTGCTTCTTCTCCCTCCTGGAAATGTGAGATACAAATTGCAACAAAATATTTCCATTCATAACTGGTTAAAGTAGTTACCTCCCACTGAGTAAGTGGGGAGATAAATTTCTGTTTTTGTTGCAATAGCCATAAGGTTAAATATGTCAGAGGGGGTGGGAATTCCATTAGATTTCAACCCCAACTTCCACCCCTCTGGACAATTGTAAATCTTACTACTTTAAAAGTCCTTGCCTCCTGCCTAACAAAGAAAGGGAGTGACATGCTAAGAAAAAATTCCTAACTTTTGAACAAATTAAGATATCTTTTTGAAATTTTAACTTTTTATCAATTTTTGCATTTTAAAAGGATTTCATAAGTTTCAAAAAAACCAATCCGATAATTAATGAGCTATAGCTGAATGAATTTTTATACAGTTCATTTCCATCCCATCTGTCCCCCACAGAGGGGATGGAGTCCTTGAGGATGACCTTCCACACCTGCTGACCACTCTTCCACCCTTACAATAGAACATTGCTTGAGGAAAAAACAATTTATGTTCTTTTAGGTAGAAGAATATACCAAGAATTAGAGAAAGGCATCTTTATCCCTCTCCCTACTAATGAATTCCTGCTGGACAACTGAGAACTTTTTGTTTCTGAACCCTGTTGAGCTTTTCTGCTCTGGAAAATAGTGAAAGTAACTGCAAACTTTCAAAGACCAGTGCAACAAGGGGTTGTGATGGCTATTTTTCCTTTCCCATATAAATCTATGTATTGACAGCAATGACAAACTAAGAGTATTACATCAGGGCACTAACATACTTCAGGGAGCAACAGGGTGGATCCTTTTGGCTAAATGGGCAGCAGAGTGCTGTGCCCTGTTTACCCTGCCTAGAATGAGCTCTGTGTGTACTTATAGAATTAATATCCTACATAAATGATGTCATGCTTGAAGGGTGTTCCAGAAATTGTGACAGTGATAATGTGAAGGAGAAGGATAACAAGTATGGCATTCTACATTTTGGTTAAAATAAAATCTTGTTGAATCAATGGACAATTTTAGTTTCTATTTTATAAATTTTTTTCAAAGTAAATATTTATTAATTTAGCATTGATGTGCTCGCAAATCTCATTAAAAATGTAATTAAAATTTTAAAATAAAATTTGAATTGTGATTTATAACTAGTGTTTTGGTTCTGGAGCGCTAGCATGTTTATACTTCAAAGTATGACATGCAACTAAAGAGGTAGAGAGTGTGGCAATGTGCAACACTTTGTAAGGAAGGGGTCAACAATGTTGAATCAAAGGATAACATCACTTATGGAAAACTTCTTATTGTTTATGAACTTATTTTTATTCTGTTGTGAAATAGAAAAATTGATGTAAGCGACAAATAAGAAATTGATATTTTATGTATTTAGCATTTTTGTATTAACTATAAATTGCCGGGGAAAAAAATTTATATAAGTTTTGTTTTATTAGTTTTTTGAAATTTTATTTGTATGTTCTTATCAATAAGAATAGAAAGGGAAAAATTGTTAAGTCCTTTTTCTCTAAGTCTATTGTGAAGCACTTAAGTTTTTTTTTAAATTGGACAAGAGTACAGGATTCTGTTTAAAAGAGATTCCTGTGCATTTCCCACCGTTCAAAACATTTTTCCTGCCAAAAACAGTTCTTTCAAAAAGTTTATGTAAAACTGAGTTAATAATATCATTACATTTTTTTAAACCTTTTTTTAGCTGGTGTTTTTAGATCTATTGAAGAAGTAATTGATATTTATTATTATTATTATGATCTACTAATGTTGTGTCACTTATTTATTTTAATTTAAAAATAAAATTCCTTAAAAAACAAATGTTTTTTTTTATAAATCAATTATTAAAATAGGACTAATATTTGTTAATTCAAAAAAAAAACTTCTTTTAAATTTATAAAATAAGTTATGCAATTGATTATATTTTTTAATTATTCATTTCAGAGGTAAGGAGGGTTTAACATCGGTTGCTTAAAACCAACTGTTGCATATAACCAACATTACAAAATGAGTTATCAAATGCAATCTCCTGCTCCTCCTGTTTCAAGACCAAGTATGTTAATATTTTATGATTATCTTTATTCTATGGAATATATATATAAAATGATTTTGTTCATAGTATTAACAATTTTTATTGTTAAAAAAAGTGAAGAAAGTTTTTTTTATATTGGTAACTAAATTCAAGAATAAAAAATTGATCTTAAAATACCTTAAGTGCCTTGATGGTGTTTTCAGTTACAATGTTAAAAGATTAATAGTTGTGATATAATGCTGCCCAGTTATATTTTGCACTGCAATCAAGTAATGTTCATTGAGTGATTTTGGTAGACTTCAGAAACTACAGCTCCTTAAGACCTAGGACTTCCAAAATTCTAGGTCCCTTTTTTCTGAAGCCCAGTTTCTATTTAAAATATGACTTATTGTGTCTACCTCTTATTTTATTTATTAATATGCACATTCATAAACATCTCTGTCATTGCATTGAACAAAACAAAGAATTATAAAACAAGGAAAGAGTTAGTTATATTTGAGCTATTGAGGCTTTTAGTTAGGACTGATCAAACACCTGCTTCAAGGAAAAGCAATGGGGCTGCTCAGAATTCTAATTTTTTCTTCAGCTATTAATAAAGAAAAATAATAATTTTGTTTATAAATATATTTGGGTTATAATTTTGCCAGCATAAGTCTGTTAGCATGCTATTTTTTTCTAGCAGCAGAAAGTAGCTGCAGTGTCATCCATATCTCATTTTTTGCGTCCCTTCTCCGATATTTGATATATTGGACACACTATAGTGTGCAAGTAGAATCACTGCTCATTGACTTAAATCAAAATTATTTCTTTAAAGAAATTGTCATTTTAAAAATAAATTTTATTTTGGGATTGCTCAAAAGTTTTTTGTTAACTTTCATAGTTTTGATTTGCAAAATTATATTAGTACTTCATTTGACGTGTAATCAAATAATGTACTTTTTAAATACAATTTGAAAAATCTTATGCTTTTGGATTTTTTAGAATGCAATGGTAAAATACAATAATTTTTAATGCTTAGTTTCTATTAACATAGTAATTGATTAGATCTTCTGTTTGCTAAAAATATAGTAATCAAAAATCTATCAACTGCTAGTTTTAACTATTATTTCTTTTAATTAAAAACGTATTTCTCTTATGAAAATGTAATATTTGGTTGTAAGTTATAATTTTCACTGCTGTTATGATTGTTTTATAGATTCTTCGATGTATTGGATTGAAAGTTAATGCTCATTTATTTTGCAGTGTCACACGGGAACTATAGCAACCCTCCTGATATGCCACTAGCAAATCCGAAGGAGCAAACCTTGATGTGGCAACAAAATTCTTATATGGGTGATTCAGGAATTCATTCTGGAGCATCTACCCATGTAAGTCACATAATTTTTTTTATCTTTATTTTCTATATGTTTTAAATGCTTTTTGAAGAAAATAAAAATTAATGTAACATTTAATTTAGATTTTGTATATTATATTTTCAATATTGAACCTATCCTTTAGCACAATTTGTTAAGCAATAATCTCCAAAATTGCAAGTTTAATTTTCATTTCTTTTTTATAAATTTTAATTTTATGTTAAAAGTTTTCAAATGTTTATTTTTAAATCGAATTTGTTTTTTAAATACTTGCTCTTTTCTTTTCATTCTGATTACAGACAAGCGATTTTAGGAGGAAATTTTCTTCTTTTTATTTCTAGAAGAATTCTTATTATTTCTTCAGTATTTTGTTGTTTTACTTTGTTATTATTTTATGCTCTTTAATAATGATTTACGATGTATAAAGCTTAACAGTTTGTTAGGCTATCAATGTACACATAAAACGGAGTAAAAAAACTATATATGTATGCAAATAATTTAAATGTTTTCTTTTTTGGCAAAATAGTTTCACACACATATATTTTTTTTCATGGTTTTATATAATATTTTACAAGGTATTATAGTGTTTAAAGCTACTTAATGCTAAGTCTTGGGTTGCTAAAGCTTTTATTTGTTGGAATTAAGTATATATCCAGCCACATTATAGTTTTAATTATTACACACATTTCATTATTTTAGGCTCCTGGGACACTCTGTGGTAAAGAAGATGATCTTGAAAGTGAACAAATAGTTTTTGACTGGGATCAACCTGGATTTGGCCAAGGTTTCACTCAAGAACAAGTTGATGGTAAATCTTTTTATTGATTGCTGTTTTTACTTTATTTCTTTGTATTGAATATTTGATATTCTAATTCAGTAAAGTTTTGCTCTGAACTGAGGTTATCATTTTCTATTCTGATTGTAAAATTTTATTCACTTAGAAATGAACCAACAGTTGAACCAGACTAGATCCCAAAGAGTCAGAGCTGCTATGTTTCCTGAAACTTTAGAAGAAGGACTTGAAATCCCCAGTACACAGTTTGATCCCACTCAGCCTACTGCTGTCCAGCGATTAGCTGAACCCTCTCAAATGCTTAAGCATGCTGTTGTTAATTTAATTAACTACCAGGTAACTTATTAATTTATTCCTGGATGTCTTCTTTTTTAATTGAGCAGCTTAAGTATCTTATTCCATTATTGTAGGATGATGCTGATTTAGCCACCAGAGCCATTCCAGAATTAGTGAAACTCCTCAATGATGAGGATCAAGTAGTTGTAAGCCAAGCAGCAATGGTCGTCCACCAGTTGTCGAAAAAAGAGGCGTCTCGACATGCAATAATGAACTCGCCACAAATGGTGGCAGCATTGGTGCGTGCCATGACTTCTTCGAATGATCTGGAGACCACCAAATGTGCTGCTGGGGTCTTGCATAATTTATCACATCACCGTCAAGGCTTGCTGGCTATCTTCAAATCTACTGGTATTCCTGCTCTAGTTAAACTTTTGAGGTAATTTTTGCTCTTGCACTTGCATAAGTTATTACGATGGAGTCACAAGCGTGATTGTATTCCAGATAAACCCTGGAATTCCGGATTATTCGTATTATCCCCTCCAGGTCTAAAGACTAAGAGCACATATGTGATTTTTCCGCGAATTTCGCAGAATTTCGAGTTTCTCAAGAATCCTGACTTCCGTGAATTTTAAACTTTTTAATACAACTAAATTTTCCCTGCAATCTGAAATTTAAAGTAACAATTAGGAGTTCTGGAAATTAAACTTTGAGACTTTTACTAAATTGCATTAATCATTGCGTTTACATATCCGTGATTCTTCCGAATATTTGAAACTACACTGAAATCCGCTAATATCGCAATTCATTATCAACACGATTTTAATATCAAACATTGATTTTTACATTTATTTGATTTAAAAGTTACACATTGTAAATCATATTCATGAGATTTAAAAATCTTATATCTCAATTTGTTTTCCCATGATTTAAGCATCTAATGTCAGGATTTGTATTTGGGCTTTTTTTAAATCCAATATCGTGATTCGTATTCATGCGAGTTTAAATTCATGTGTTTGTAACATCAAACTTTAATTTTTGTATTTATACAATTTAAAATTCTAATATCGCGATTTGTATTTTCCCATATTATGATTCTTATGGGTTTTTTTTAAATGAGTTACTATAAAGGTGTGATATTCTTCATTGGTATTTAATTTAATTATAAATCTTAGTTCAAGAAACTATATTAAACATGTATAGTTTGTACCTTGATATTAAGTTATTGCATTTTCAGAATTTTCTATGACTCTTGAATTAGTTTATATATAAAAATAAAAACTATTTTTGATTTATTATCGTTTTAAATAGTGAATAATTTTTATACAAATATAAATTATGTGAAATCTTAATCCCTGTTTTCAATAATTCCACTATCATATCGAAAAAAAAATATTTTTCAAAAAAATTTTATGTAGAAAACCATTGTTTATAGTGGACACATTTCTTTGTCTGTAGACAGTTCACTGTAGCGAAGTTAACTCATAATGTGAACCCTTATAAAAAGTATCAGTTGTGTAATAAATGCTTTTTAATTTTTAGTTCTCCTGTTGAGTCTGTTTTGTTTTATGCTATAACCACCCTTCACAACCTATTATTGCACCAGGAAGGATCCAAAATGGCTGTTCGTCTTGCAGGGGGTCTCCAGAAGATGGTGACTCTCCTACAAAGGAACAATGTGAAATTTCTTGCTATTGTAACTGACTGTTTACAAATTTTAGCATATGGAAACCAAGAGAGTAAGGTAAAAACAGTAGTTTTAAATATGTTTGTATGCATATATATACGATTTTGTTTCATTCTAAACTCGTGAGTTTTTTTTTTCTTTAGCTTATTATTCTTGCCAGTGGAGGTCCTGCTGAATTAGTGCGTATTATGAGATCCTACACCTATGAAAAACTGCTGTGGACAACTTCCAGGGTTTTGAAAGTACTTTCAGTATGTTCAAGTAATAAACCTGGCATTGTTGAAGCTGGTGAGTTGTTACAAAATCTTGACAACTAAAAAAAAAAAACTTGTACGGAAATTTTTATTTTTCTATATGATTAGGAGAGATTTTTTGGCAATTTTTTTTTCTTCTGATTTTCTAAGGGTTGGGATTTCTGGTTAGTGGTCTTATGCCTTTAAATTTTATATTCAACTGCAGGGTTTTTCATTTTAATGCACAATTTTACTTCAATAATTTCCAAATTTATATAAATCAGAGAGTGTGCTTTTTATTTATTTTATAATTCCCCCAAAATTCAAAACCTGTGCACAAGTTATGGTAAAAAAAAAATAAGGCTTGCTAATTTTTTTTTTGCGCTCTTCTAATCATTTCTAATTTGTTATGGTAGTGTTGGATCTAAAACCTTTTTAATAAATTACAAACATTGAAGTTATTTGGATGATTAAAAAGATGTTTTTAAATGATATTATAAAGATGTTTTTTTTTTCTCTGCAAAATTTTTGTGATTCAATTTTTTAAAGTATGTTATAATTTACATATTTTTGTAGGTGGGATGCAAGCATTAGCTATGCATTTGGGTCATCAGAGCCAGCGCTTAGTTCTCAACTGCCTGTGGACTCTTCGTAACTTGTCAGATGCTGCTACCAAACAAGTAATTTTCTCTCACTAGTATAATTTAAATTATTTTCTAAATGAATGTTCAAATTTTCTGATGTATTGAAATCATATCTGTTCCCAAGAATTTGCATTAAAGGGTATTTTAAGAGGTTATATTTTATTAATTTAATAACTATAAAGCATCTTTGTTTATATCAAAAAAGTGTTTTCTTCTACTTCGTATTTTATCGCACTGATGGTGTCTTTTTTTTGTGACACAGGTTTCTAGCTCTTCTATTAGTTAATTTATTTTAGTTTTATCACAAATAAATTTAAAATTATCCTCTTGTTGCGTATCTCATCTTCGCATAGCAAAACCGGTTTTTTCATGTTATGAGGTAAGGAATCCATGTTAATGGGAAAAAATATTCTTCCAAATTTGCCCATTTGCAAAACTGCCAGTGCATTAATTGATTAAAATATTTAAAGTTGTGAAGTATGTAATTATGTTTTTGATTCTTTATATTGATCATTGAAGTCAAATTGTCATAATGCCTCTTTAATTCTTGCGATATAGCCATAACTGTCTCTTGCACCAAAAACACACAAATAAATAGCTGAAAATGTGAATAATATTCACTGTTATTTAATAAATTTTCTTAAAAGATTACATTTCTTGTGAATTTATGACATAATGATAATAAATGCTTCTGTTTCATAGGATAATGTGGATGGACTCTTGCAAGGTCTTGTTCAGTTGCTGGGAAGCAGTGACATCAATGTTGTCACTTGCGCTTCTGGAATTCTATCAAACATGACCTGCAACAATCATCGTAATAAAGTTACCGTGTGCCAAGTTGGAGGGATTGAAGCACTTGTTCGTGCTATCATCCAGGCTGGAGATAGAGAAGAAATAACAGAACCTGCTGTACGTATTTGAAATACGTTTTTTTTTAAAAATGCTTTTTGTTTCTGTATATGTAATTTTAACATATTATTCCTTCTTATTTAAGGTATGTGCTCTTAGGCACTTAACCAGTCGCCATCCAGAGGCTGAAATGGCTCAGAATGCTGTTAGATTGCACTACGGTCTGCAAGTGATTGTCAAATTGTTACATCCTCCAAGCAGATGGCCATTAATTAAGGTACGTTGGAATATTTTTTTATAGGCTTGTGTAAATCATATGTTACATACCATTTTAAAACTTTAAGATATGCTTAGTTTGCCCTTAATTCATTTTCTAATTTAAAATTCTTATTCTCATAATTTTTCTTAAGAATGTTGCAAAGGAGGCTTAAGTTTTTTTTTTTTTTTTTTTTTTCTTTTTGTCAATTTTTAAANTCTACATTTTTTTTTTTTTTTAACTTGTGAGTATAAGCAAGTAAAGTCTTGATCAACTTCATTCGAACAATTGTGCTTATGCTCACTGTCATATGAAAAAATTAAAAGATGTAAGTAATCATTTACATGGTATTAATTGAGTTAATGCTGATTTATCTTGCTTTCTTATCTATTTATTATGTTATCTAATTAAGATAATGTAATAAATAGAATTCTTTCAAGTGTGTGTTTGTTAAGAATTTGAATTGCTAAGTTATTAATATCTTTCTTTTTTTCAACACACTTTTTATAGGCTACATAGATCACTTGTTCATATTTTCTGCCAACAATTTATTTAATTATATATTTTTCTACCAATGCATTACATAGAGTGCATAAATTTGTTTTATAATTTATTTGACTTATCAAATAAAAAAATGCAAACAAATATTATGCATAGAAATATTATGAGAACAAGCTAACATAATATTATAAGAACATGGAAATATTATAGGAAAAAGCAAAATAGTTTTTTTTATTATTTTCTTTAAGGGATGCCACAATTGGCATTAGATATTTCCTACCTTTTAAAATATCTTATTACTTAGACTTATTTTTTCTAATCATATTAATCGGATTATATGAAATTAAAATAGAAATGAGAACTTTTAGTTTTTCTACAGTTTCTTCAAAAGAATTACTTCCAATTACTATATCATCTTGGTATGCGAATATCCCTTCAAGTTGAGTTTCCTCAATTATTGAATCCATTAATAAGAGATAATCCATTTTAATTATGAAAGAACTCACAAATAATATCAAACTGGTTACAGCTGTTACCAGTTACATCTAAAACATCAACACATTGCAAATTTAATTTTTGTTCCTAACTCTTGTAACCTTTTTTTAGAATTTCTTTATATTCATATAAAGAAAGATTTTTTATATTCGTATAAGGAAAGTGGGAGAAGTTTTCTGTAAAATTTTCAAGCTAGTAGTTTAATAGATTTTATTCAAAGATCTTAGTGGCTAAATATGTTTGACTGACACTAAAGAAAGCTTTTAAGAATTGCTTTTAACAAAATTTTTCTGGTTGACAAGCTAAAAGGGTAAGGCTTCCAAGTTATTTTTATGTACTATAGATAAGATTTTATAAATTATTAATTTAAGCGCATTGTTTAATTTTAGCTTTTGTAATGTTGAAGGATCGTTCATTTTTTATAACATTTAATCTGAGTTATGTACTATTTCAATGCTTTTACATAGCCAGATAATGATGTAGATGTACTGTTAATTTTTCTAGGCCGTCATCGGACTGATAAGAAACTTAGCCCTGTGCACAGCTAACCATGCTCCATTACGAGAGCATGGTGCAATTCCTAGATTGGTGCAGCTACTCATAAAAGCATACCAGGACACCCAGAGGGTAAGAAAACTTTCTTTTATGTCTAGAATTCAGATGAAAATTGATTGAAGACAATGAATTCTAATACAATATTATATTATAGCAACGCTCTAGTGTCGCTTCAAGCAACAGCCAAATAGCATATGTGGATGGCGTTAGGATGGAAGAAATTGTAGAAGGTACTGTTGGTGCTTTACATATTCTTGCACGTGAAGCACACAACAGGGCAATAATTAGAGGGCTTAACGTTATTCCCGTGTTTGTGCAAGTAAGTACTGCTTTGAAAATAACTGGTTTTACTTTGAATTTAGAAGTAATGTTAATAACTTGGGATTGTCATTTAATCAAAACAAATAATAAAAACAAAATTAGAATTTTGTCAAAAAAAGCAACTATTTTTAGAAATAGCCGACTATTGGGACCCTTTTACTCATAGAGAAGTTTTTGTCAGAAAAATGAACGTTACTTTTCAGTCTCCTCGCTAACACGTACGTAGTGCCGTCTACCATGTGTGTACTAGAGCTAAGTGACGTCATCACGCTAACCTCTCCTTTGTTATTTCACCACACTGACAGAAACAGCTGATAAGTTGTCAGAAGGAGCGAATGAAAGACTTAAAGAAGTCCTTAGACTAAAGATATGCAAGGAATTAGACTTGCACAAAGCATGATTGAGGTAGTCTGCAATTACGATAAAACGAAAAAGAGGATTAAACAAATGAACACAAAATAAACTAAATTGTTAATAAAAGAAAGCAAACCCTTATATAATCATTTATGTCCAAAAATTTAAATTTTCTGCTTGTTGGTGAGCATTTTGAAGACCTTATCTAATTAAGTAGTGAAAAAAAGTAATGTTTTTTAGTTAAATATTAAAGCAATAATTATGTGTTTACTTAGTATAATTGATTCATTGTAAAAGGATGGTGAACATATTTAGTTCAAAACTGCCAACTGTTCCGATTACATGTTATTTGCTCCAATTTTTTACCTTGCTCCAAAAATACAATTTTAGGTCAAAATGTTCAGAATTTTCGTTACTTTAACACCTTTTTCCTCCTTATTTCAACTGAGGGCAGATCTAAAAATTGGAAGCACATGATTTTTCTGTGAACACCACAGAATGCTATGTATTTCAATACTATTGATTTGTGGATTGCTGCGAGTCAAAAACTTAGAATCCGAATAAATTTGAAGATTTTTCCAAATATTTTAACAAAATACCTATGTATACATGATTCTTTCGCCATTTTGATTCTTCTGGTTTGGTGGATTTTTGGATCTTTGGAATTGCACCTGCAGCTGTTAATATCACGATTCCTATTCACACAATTTGAAAAATCTGATGATGCGATTTGTATTCACGCTAGTTTAAAATCGAATATTGCAATTCGTATTCACGAGGTTGTAATATCAAACATCGATTTCATATTTATACTTGGTTTTAAAACTAGCTAGCTTTATGATTGATATTCACACAATTTCAATATCGCAATTTGTATTTTCATATTTCAAGTTGGCAGCTATGTTAGTCCCTGTTTTGAAAATTTATAACTTTCAAATCCTATTCAAACATGTATGTCTTCTAGTTCTTTATTTTGCATGGGAACATCTAATGTTGTAAAACTCAACTTAGATCTAATTTTAATGATTAAGAAAATGTAGTAGTGTTGTTTTCTACATTTGAGATAAAGTGATAATGTTTGATTTGTTCAGATGTTAAATTTTACCTTTTTTTTCTTCCTTTAGTTGCTGTATAATGACATTGAGAACATTCAGAGAGTTGCAGCTGGAGTGTTATGTGAACTTGCATCAGACAAAGAAGGTGCAGAAATGATAGAAGCTGAAGGTGCAACTCCACCTCTCACCGAGCTTCTACACTCCAGAAATGAAGGTGTTGGTAAGTGTGTTTTCTTTTTTGAGGTGTAAATGATATTAAGAAAATACTTTCATAAATTTAAATATAAGTGAGTTCTTATATTAATCTTTATTTTTTTTTTAAAGCAATGTCATTGTGATTTTTCAGTCAATATTTTGATTTAGCTTACAAAGACAATTCGATTCAATTCATAAATTTTAATTGATTCTTAACAATAATAATTGTTGCATATTAATTTTGTAGCAACATATGCAGCTGCTGTTCTATTCCGTATGTCTGAAGATAAGCCGCAAGATTACAAGAAAAGGCTGTCAGTAGAGTTGACCAACTCTCTCTTCAGAGATGTTGAAGGTCCATGGACTGCTATGGTCAGTAAATCATGCTTGCTATATTCTTAAAATATTTCAAATATAATTGCTATGTATGTGTTCTGTCAAAAAAAATTAATGCACAAGTATTTCATTATTAGTATTTGAAATTTTTAATTACATAAGACTTAAAATTCTTTTTAGCCAACTGATATGGATATTAACATGCTGGGTCCAGAAGAAGCTTACCATGATCAGATCTATCAAGGAAGCCAAGGTCCACCAAGTGTCCATTCAACTGGACCAAGACACAACCAATACACTCCACAAGGTTCGTTTATTCTTTATTTATGACATTATTGACAATTTATCTAGGGTTTCAATACAATAAACTGTCAATTGTACTATTTTATATTGATTGTTTTTAAATGATATTTGTCCCTTGATCCGTTTTTTGAATTCTCTTGTTTATGTATCTATATCAAAAGTTATCCCTTTTTTTTCTCTGTTAGTTTCACATATAGAAGAAATCACAAGGTTTTAATTATCAGTATATTTTTAGCATTAATTATCAAAACATTTTAAGTTATAATCAGTGCACACAGTAATCTTGAAATTCTGTCATACCACTGGAGAATTTTTTCGTTGCGGATTCTCTTTCATCTCCATAACTAATTTTAAAGTATGAAGCAAATGCGTTCAGACAAACCTACAGTAATCCATGAAGTTTGACATACTGAAAAGATATTTTTAAAATATCCAAATGAAAATAAATTATGAGAAGATAACTTTGAAGTTCTCTTCCAATAATTTGTTTGCATTTTGATATTTTAAATTTCTTATCAGCTATTAAAACTTCATGGATTACTGTAGGTTTGCCTGAACTCATGTTTTTCTGTACTTTAAATTTTAAATTAGTAATGTATGTGAAAGATTTTGAAATGAAAAGTTTCTCCCGTGGTATGGTGTCTTCTTAAACAACTAACTTAAATTTTTAGCTTTCTCTACATGTTAACATATTTTGTGTTTAATAAATGTAAAAAATACTTTTCAAATTATATTTTTTTGTGAAACTTATTAAATCATTAGAAACTGATAATTTTAGCTTTCTAATAAAAATTCATTAATATAATCACTTAGTTTACGTTATTTACCTAAATTAGTATTAAAAAATGTATTCATGCAATTAAAAAGGATATTTTTTTAAAGAAAATCTGACCTATGCTGTTATAATGTGCTACAATTTCTAATACTCCATTCCAAAAAAAGAGTAGGGAATTTTTAGTTGCAACACTATATGGATTACTCCTCAAACTACTTAAACAACTAACTTAAAGCTTTCTCTACATTTTAACATATTTTGTGTTTAATAAATGTAAAAAATACTTTTCAAATTATATTTTTTGTGAAACTTATTAAATCATTAGTAACCGATGCTTTCTAATGAAAATTCATTAATATAATCACTTAGTTTAAATTATTTACCTAAATTAGTATTAAAAAATACATTCCTGCAAATAAAAAGGATATTTTTTTAAAAGTCTAATACTCCATTCCAAAAAAAGAGAAGGGCATTTTTAGTTACACTATATGAATTACTGCTCAAACTAGACTTAAAAACTTAATTCTTATATCAGTTTATGTTTTAAGTGTTCCAGATTTTATCTATAAGTAAATGTTAAATTTTATTAGCTTGCTTTTAATTAATGAATATTTATTTATTCTAAATATTTATGTGTTTTTTAATTTTTCTCCCAAGGCTAATTAATTATTTAACTGTCATTTGACTTTTTAGAATTTAAATGCTTATATTTCTAACAATATAACTTCATTAAATTTTTTTTAAACACCTGTCTTTGATTTTGGGATTTCATATGGTATGTAAATTTCATATTTTTTTATTGCTAAATATTTTATGTATGTTTGTCTAAGTTTGCATGTAATAACAATAAGTTAGGTGGCAAGTCTTGAAATTTAATTCAATAATGTAAGGCATTTTTAAAAGTTAACTTCATTTTCATGATTCTAAAATATTTAGTTGAAAAGCATAATCTTTTGCTTATTAAGCTTTAATTTTTCTGATTAATTAAATATAATTTCGTATAAATGATAATTTTAGTTGTAGGGATGGGCAAAAAGGTGCTTTTTTTTTCCAATATCATTTATTTAAATTAAATATAAAAAAAGATTAAAATAAAAAATCATGAAATGTTCAAGAATATGCAGAGAGAAATAAGAAAAGCTTCTGTTTAATATTGATTCTATAACTAATGGTTTTCTTCCTTATCTATAATATCAAAATAAAACATTAAATAATGATTAAGCTGTATTATTTCAAATAAACCACTGGCGATAAAAACAGAATACGTCTAAATTATGGCATTTTGTTAAGTTTATTAAGTAAAAATAGCTTTTAAAAGTTATTGTAGATCCATTGGAAAAGTATAGTCCAACTCAGTGTTCTGTGGGAAAATATATGCAAACCCAGTGTGCAAACTATATTGCTATGGCCTAAACGGAATATTTACTGTCGGTTATAACATGCTTTTAAATCTATAAAAAAAAAAATTCTTATTTTATTTTACTTTAATCCAAATAACTTTTATTTTACTTTCCTCTCTAAATAACTAAATAACAATTTTTTTAAATTTTTTTTTTTAAATTTTAAATGTTTGAGATAATGCATGCATAATAAGCTGTATAAAGTTCATATTGAATATTGCCTTATTGCCTGCTTGATATTTTTTACATGAAACTGTAATGTGTTAAATGACTTTTTCTATTGATAAGATTTGTAACAAAAAATTTTTTATTATTAGGTTATAACATTCAGGTCCCTATTGATTCGATGCAAGATCTTGATCTCGGGGGACAAGTCGGGCACGGTGGATATGGTACTTTGGATACTAACATGGATTTAGATGGACCTCCCGATATAAACTTTGATACCCTAGAACCCATGTTGCCCTCTCCTCAGCAAAATGGCGATGGTTCTCATCAAATGGCTGCTTGGTACGACACTGACCTTTAAATGGATTCGTCACCACTCCTATCTTTTAAGTAGCCGGCTGCTTGGTGTTTGTCATCACATTTTAATGAACTTTTTATTTATGTGTACTTTTTTTTACATACTATATATATGAAAGGATATATTAAGTGTCATGCCCGATTCAAGTTACGTTTTCTTTTAGATATATGTTGGATTATTTTTTAGTCTTGTGGCAGCTTTTTAAACATGTATCTTTATTTTTGTAGTTTTTAATGTTTATCTTGTGCTTATTTTTTTTTAATGGTAAGTTGGAGTTTAAGATGTACATCTTCCCCCTATTTAAAAGAGAGAATTCATTTCATATTATTGCATTTATGTTTGTTTAAATAAAATGACTCCTCTGTATATTGCTATTAAACCATTCTGGTATTTTCCTTAGTTACTGCAAATGTTTTCCCCTCTTTGACTTTTAAGAACAAAAATACAAATTTAAATGTTTAATTAAATGTTACTAAAATAAATTTATCCGATGCTTTTGTATTGCAATATTATCTCACAATAACTAACTAAATCACAAAGGCACTTTTATGAATAGCCAGCATGTTTTCTTTGAGTTTTCAATTTCGTCAACTGTGACATTTTTCGCATTGCTCAGCGAGCAATGTTTTAAATGCCATTTAAATCTTTTCCACATTCTTAGTGATATTTGTAACTTTTTTTAATGTCATTTTCATCAATATATTTGTATAACTTAAAACTGGTGGTTTATAATCTATTTATATTGTAGCTTTATACCGTAAAACTTATGTTGACTGGATGTGCTACTTTTCATTTGTACTTGTAGTGGTTTTCTGTAAAAAAAAGACTATTAAAATAATTTGTAGAAAGAATTTAGTTTTCATTTAGTTCGTACTGTTGCTTAAAAAAATGATCTTTTCTTTTGATTTCTAAGTTATTACTGTTATTTCTTGTCTTGTGGAGATTTCCTGAAATTGTAGAAAGTTTTCTATTCTAATTATTTTGCTATTGACTATATCAGTTGAAGCCAAAAGACTGGTCAAAATCGCTTTTTTCCTTTTGCGTCCCAGTATTTATATTATACTATTTCAGCTTTCTCTGGTATAAATAAAATAAAAGTATAATAGATCAACTTTCATACCTAATGTGAATTCAGTCTAAATAAATAATTTGAAAATTTTAATATTTTTCAAGAATGTTAAGCGACAGCTAAAACACAGTTAAAAAAAAATTACTTTTCTCAATTGTTACAAAATTTCTAGCAAATCATGAGATAATATAATTTTAATATTAATATGAAACAATAATAGTAATTGTAATGATTCTTTTTAATTTTTATATTGTTGAAGTTATAACCTCAGTTTTTGTTACCATATTTATATTACCACTTGTTACCATGTGCCATATTCAAATTATTTTTAGCAGTATTTTTATTGAAAGATAGTAATGAGATAATATACTTTCCCATTAATATTTAAACAATAATAGTTATTATAATGATTATTTATAATTTATTTTTTTGTTGAAGTTAAAACTTCTAAACATTTTTTTGTGGACCTTCATGTGCCACTTAATCAAATTACATTAAGTTCATCAATAATAATAAAAAAAGTACACAATCTTATTCTATAAAACTTATGATAATATTTTTAGGGGCTGAAATAGTTATCAATTGTTTGTAACAAATGATGCATTTTTGTATTGAATCCGTTTTTAGAACTTCATTAGGAACCATCATTTTCAATCCCCCTTTTCCTCTATTTTATATTTTATAGCCGTCGTTCAACAGCCGACCCAAATTTGAGATTACGACTGCTAATGTTCAATTCTGTAGCCTTGTAAGTTTGAACGCAATCCAGAAGACTTACTCAAAACTACAACAATTGTATGTTTTGTAAACAAGATGTTGGTTTTCTTTGTGGAAAAGATGAGCGATTAAAAATAATAATACTAATGCTGAATGAAAAGTAATTGGGAGGTTAGTGAATGAAACAAGCAGGAAGTCACAGAAAATTGCTGAATATTTATAAATGGTATGCAGAAAATAGTATCTAAAAGTTCGATAGAAAATTTTTTTATTAAAAGAAATTCTTGTTCTAAGTTCATATACCAACATGGGTGCAAGTCTCGCGTCCCCAGGACGGATTTCCGTCTTTCGAAAATGTCCGCGGACGGAAGTAAGACGGAAACAAGACTGACTCGAAGACGGAAATCGGAATTTTTTTTCCTTTTCTGTCCTTAATATTTTTTAGGTCTACGTTATTGGTCTACTTTTTTATGTCCTGTTGTTATTTTATCAAAAGACAGATGAATAAATATTTGTTGTACAGTTTTTAAACTTGATGTATTATGGTAAAGCTTTCTTAGATAGTTAGCATATGTCGATTGGGTATTGTGTATGTTAGGTATTTCAGACAAAAAATTTTCAGTCTTGGCCTTTTTTCCAAGTTGCACCCATGTATACCAATCTAAAATTAGTGATGCAAGTACCTTCACAAACGAGGATGGTGCTTGCAGCCTATATAGCTTATACGTAAATCCAGCTGTACTTGTGAACGAATCACAGAGTTAGATCGTTTACTTTATTTTGCATACCACCAAAAGAGATTGCTGTACAGGTGTAAATTATACTTTGGTAAAAACAATCAGAGCTACATTGGCATCGGGCTAACCACGAGAGCTTTTCGTGGTTTTTTCTTTAATTTTGCGCAAATGCTGATTAGTTTCGCTTAAATGAATTTTTCATGAAGATGAATATGACCTTGTTTTTAAACAAGTTTTCTTTCATCTAAATTCAAGGCTAAGAAGTTAAAAGTTCAATGAGTGGATTGGTAATTTAAATTGTGAAGAAAAATGAAAGTCTCGGTAAATGTTTGTGATCGCGTAGTTTATCATAATAGAAAGAAGAAGAAAAAAATTTTTTTATTGATATTATGAATTAAAATTTTTAATTTTTGCTAGAAACTGCAAATTTTTAATGAAGAATTGAATATGATTCATATGTTTCAACAACTATGCCTAAACATTTTTTTGTATTAAAGTTAATAAAAACAGTTATTTAATTTCAGAAATACCTTTAGATATAACAAAATGACAACATTTTGACCATAATCAGCCTTATTTAAAAGAATATTTTTTTAAATCAAAAATTACCATATTCTCTCTAATTGAAACGATGCATACCAGTAAAACATTACTCCGCGTATGTTGAGCTCACGCTGCCTCGGCATTGTTTTTTTATCAGTTTTCCGACCAGCAAGGCTAGACAAAATTTTATGGCCGTTTGTTCCAGATTCAAGTAGCTAAAATTTTATTCTAGGTATGTATGCCTAAATGTATGTATATTTATTTTATCTTTAAAAACTATTATATTCCATGAAAAACATTAAATTTTCCTTGAAAACAAGCAAATGCTACTCATTAAAATCTCCCTTTATAAAAGAATTAGAGTAAAATAAATAGACCCCAAAAATTTTGTGAGTTATGTCTTCACAAGCATACTAAAGACATGAAAATAGAACAAAAAAGCAAGAAGGAGGAGCGTATAAACTTGAACGCTCATTTACTCAAATTCTCTAAAATGTTATTTTGCCCATTCTTCCACTAAGCTTTTCATATGTGTGTAATTCACAATATATGGAATAATCATCCATATATGTATGTTTAAATTTAAAACTAAGTGCTAAATTATATTGTAATAATTAAAACTTTATAACTGCTCTTAAATATATCAATCTTAATATATATATATATATATATTAACTAAATGCAATATCTAATTCTCCTTTCTTTCCTTTATCTATTGCTGGGGGGAAACGGGATGAAAACGTTTAAAGATATTATTTGTTACTAGAGCTGCAATAAAGTTGCCTTTTCTCTGTAAAGATACATTGATTAAATTGTTCTATTTCTCCCACTTTACCTTTTTCGAATATTGTAATTTACACAAAATTAATTTCCAGAATTCCACTACGAGTTATAAAGTTGGTTGTCAAATGGTAGAGAGTAAATAACTTTTAAAACTAAGTTACGTAAATAACGTTACTTAAGTACTCATTTTCGTCGAAATTTTTATCTACATGAAATTTTAATTTGTGCTATTAAAAAAAAAAAAAAAAAAAAAAAAAAAAAAAAAAAAAAAAAAAAAAAAAAAAAAA